AGGCGGAAGCTAATCAGATGATGTGCAGAGCGAGCCTGGGTTAATGCTGCGAGAAGCAAGATGAGTTGAGAAATAAAATAAAAAAAACAGGATCGAGAGAAAGAGGTTGGTCGAAAGCTGGTGAGGTGTCTCTCGGAGATATAATAATAGGAAACGAGTGTGGGTGTGGATTAAAGGGTGTTGTGGTTGGCGTGTGATGAGGTCGGAAAGGTGAATTGAGGTGAGGTGAGAGGTAGGTGCGGGAGGTGCGAGGTTAAGATCAGATTCCGGACGGGAAAAGAAGTTGGTGTTGGAGTTCGGACGCTTTGGTGGGAAGCGAGAGGAGGCGGAGGAGCCAGGAAGGAGGGGAGGCGTGTGCTTTGGGATCCCAGAGAGTCCACACTGGCACACAGAGCCAGCGCCAGAGAGGAGCAAGAGCAGGAACAAGAGCAAGAATCAGAGCCAAAGCCCAGCACGGAAGCTTGGGCGAGTTAGTCAGGGACCTAGCGCGGAGAGATGGAGCGAGAGGGAAGAGCTAAGGGGCCGGGTACCTTGGAGGAGAAGAAAACGAACGAGAAGAAGGAGGAGGCGTGGGATTGGAGAAGTGTGAGGCGTGCGGAGAGTGAGCAACGAGGTTGCTGCTAGGAACGAGGCGCGAGGAAAAGCGGGAGGGGAGGGAAGGGGGTGAGGGAGGATCGATGAGATGGAAACAACAGAGGGAGGGAAACGAATTGGAAAAAAAATAAAATAAAAAAAAATAGCAGGTGCTAGGGTCGCAGGAGTTTGAGTAAGGTAGGAGGGAAGGCAAGGAGGGTAAGGTACTGTACTTTGTGTATAGAGTACGGAGTACTTTTTCGTACATACAGCAGTCGGAATGATCCCTGCTCGTACGTTGCGTATTGATTCTGGTGCGCCTCTTGCTCTTCTCTTGCTGCCCTGTTCTATCTGTACAGTCACTACTCATTACGCCCTCCCCTGCTTTCTGCTAAGGATACCTTGCCTCACCTTACGAATGCATCCCCAAGCTGATTGTACCTTATGTAATGTTCCAGGACCCGTCCGAATTGGCGATTGGAACGGGATCTGGCTCATCCACCTACCTTATCTTGTTCGATGGTAGTTAGCCAGGTTGGGGATTGGGCGGTCCCATTAACCGTATACGGCTCTAAACCACCAAAGATGAGGGTATTGGTAGGACAAGAGACAGTAAGAGATAGACAGATGCAGAGAGAGACAGAGAAAGATTCGCCGAGTGAGGTGGAGTGGGCTACGTGCCATGTTTTCGAGCCGGGTTGTGTGCGTGCGTTTTGCGCGTGCGCTTCCAATGTCTGTGAAGTGCGAAGCCGCTCTCTGCATATGCAGGCAGATACACCACACGATGGAAAGGCAGTCCGAACTTTGAAGTCGCTGATGCAGTGCTGCTTGGAATTGAATCCCCCCAATGGTACTTGTCAATCCCGTCCGATGTTTGAGCCCCAGAAAGCCCATGCGGCACAGAGACGATGACAGCAAGCAATGCTTTGTAGAAGACGCAGAGAAAAGACCAGAGATTTTTCTGTCCCCTGCTGCTTTCCTGCCCCCGGTGCGTATCCCTCTTTTGCATCTTCACAAGGTACGGGGGCCATTGCTGTGCAGAGGGTACTCCGAGATACTCCGTAATAAAAATGGTACAGAGACGCCGCCCCCATATGAGAAGTGTGTTCCGGCCTGACCAGTCCATTCGTAGAGCGCAATACCCGCTAACTGTGCCCGCTGGCAGCTCCAACGGGCATGTTTCACTCCTTCTGGACGACGGGCTGGCTTTGGAACGCAAGGCCCGTAAGGCGTTGAAGCAGGTAAAGTGCTGTGATGCTCCGTCTGTGCAGGTCTTGAAAGTAGAGGGGGGCGTAGAAACAAGGGGAGGAACTAGGGGGGTACAAAGTACCTTACATCTCGCAAGTTCGCAACTGAACTGTAAGAGGACCTGAGCATGGAGCAGGGTCGATCCCGCCATGAAACGAACCTCTCAGCGCGTCATCGTTTGCCGACTGCAGACCAACATCTTGTCCACCAACGGCGCGCTCGGCTCATACTCTACACCATCATTATGAAATAGACAGTGAGTGTCGCGCGTTTGATGCGGCCATTGAGACGATGGATTCTCTCACTTCATCTAGACACGCTCGGTTCAGCCCATTCTTGGGCTAGTCAATTTTTTTTTTATCTTGTCTTAGGGTGGAGGGGAGGGGCAGGGGGTGAACGAAAAAGCGGCAGGTTGTTGGCTTATCACAGGACGAACGTCTGTTTGTCCAAAGAGGATCAATCAACAGACCAGATGGGAATAGTAGGGACGAACATCAGAAACCAAGAATGGTCCGAAAGGTTAGAGAGACAGTTCAGCCTCGCTGGGATCAGGGGACTAAATTCATCTCATCCTCTTCGCAGTGTCCGTACATAATTCAAGCACATCCGTGCAATTGTATCCGTATGGTAGGAGACAATTGGGCAGTCGAATGCTTCATTCATCAGTTAGCTATGTTTAAGGGGGCGAGAAGTGCAGGAAAACAGTACTAAAGCCAAGGAAAAGGAAGGAGAAAAGATGTGAACGGGGCGGAGAGAGCTGAGCAGGGGATGCGCGTGATGATGTGATGCAATGGGACGGGACCTACGAAGAGTTGGGCCGTGGACGCCATATGGAATGGAATGCAAGGAATAGGGACGGGAACGGGAGCGAAAGAAAAGGCGACGAAGAAGAGAAACAATGGACAATGGGAGAGTGAGCCGAGGGATCTACCTGGGCCCAAGAGACGCGACTGGGATCATGACCGACAAGGTGAGAGAAAGGAACGGGGGTACGGAGAAATGGGGGGATAAGATGATCATGAAAAATTAATCAAGTCGGCACGTCAAAGCTCGAGCCAATCTCACCTTGGAACCTTGGGTCCAAGTCACCTTAGCACGTGCTTAGGTAAGGTTCCCCGAGGTACCTTACGTACACTACTCCGTGGACAGTACCTGAGTAAATGTAAGGTACCTACCTTCCTTACCTTTGGCTAAGGTAGTTTGGCATGTCAATCAACTTGAGGAAGGTTCGGTCCCAAGATATTCAATTGCCTTCGAGGTTGAATTCATCACATGATGACAGTTCAAGTCATAAACGTGAGTCGGGACTGCGTGGGGTCACCATTTTTCAGCTTGTTGATTTGACAGCAACATGCAACAGATTGTGACTGCTATTGGGCACTGTTGTTACGGGACCTCAAAGGCAAGCAATCAATGAATGCAAGCAACGGATCGAGGTCTGATTCCGCTGCCCGCTAGCAATAAAACGGCAAGGCACGTATGGCTTCCCGACGTCCATACCTTACCTTACCTTACTCCGTACGAGCAAATATCCCGTCGAACAGCTCCAGCCTCCGACCGCTAGAGGCACGCGCTAGGAAGCAAGCGAGAGACAAGCGAAAGATGCAATGGAAGAAGAAGCAACGGACAACGTATGGAAGGCAAGGGTCGGAAGAGCAAGGGGGAATCATGGCAAGCAGCAAAGTCGCAACTCCCGCGCAACCGTCTTTTTTGAATATGCGATGTCGGTGGTTGGCAATGACACCTCAGCGGCATCGAATGCACTTTCCTCCCCGACTGAGGGAACCTGTAAAAATTGACTTACCTTACATAAGGCAAGACTTTAGGTACCTACACTCCGTACACATCTTGAGTCTTGATGTCTCGACACCCCCCTCCCCGCTTTTCCATCGAGGCTAATGCCAAATGGACATGATGGAGGCATCGTGCACTCCGCGCCAGAGGCCAATAGAGTCTAGGGTCACAATTCTACCGCCATTTTCCTTTGCTCTCCCACGTTTACGTCGGCCGATGATTTTCTTCCATCTCATCCGCAATGAATTTAGGTTGTCCATGGTGGCGCAATGCACACTGCATCGTCGGGTAACGGGCTCCTTCCCAACGGCAAATTACCAGCCCCTCCCTACTCCTTTTTCTTCTTCTTCTTCTTCTTCTTTCTGACCGACGGATACGGATGTTGTCTATTGTCTGAGGTACCTTTTCTGGCCCTTCTCTTTTAGTCCAGTTTCTTCCAATACTTCTCCTCCACCCGCCGTGTCGACCCTGGCTTCTTCATCGACACTACTCAGGACCGATGCACCAATGCCGATGCTGCACAGCTGAACGATGATGGCGCAGCATCAGGCCCAGCAGCGCGGGGGCCAGAGGAGCGACTGTGTGTGTACTCCGTATGCCAGACTGCGAGTGTCTGGTCTGTCCGATGCTTCACAGACAGCCGCGAATAAACTGGCCAATTCAAGAGAATTCACGAGAGCCTACTCGGACGTTGACGATTGCCTCGCCATGATTGGCCAGGTTATCACCTGAAACAAATTCAGGACTGCTCACCGATACGCCACGGGGCGGCCCAGCGTTTCGAAACAAGAGCAGAGAGAGAAGCAGGCAATCCCATGGGCCGCAGAGGTGCTGGCAGCAGCAGCTACTGCAGCACATCTCACAGTACTGTACCAACACATGTACTGAACTGCCAGGTGCCTGCCTATCTATGCAGTCAGTGTGATCAATGGCCTGGGAATGGATGGGATGGCAGGCTGCGTGCCTAGAGTTTATTCCTGGTCCCAGACTTATGCGTCTTTTCTCGATGAATAGGGGCCTCTTCTTCCTCTCCCATGAAGGAAGGGGTATTTTTGTTCGGGGTCTTGGGGCCAAGCAGCCAAGTGGCCATGCTCGAAAGAGCTTCTTTTCGCTCGGAGTCGCCTCACCACGGCCTGGCACTTACTGTGTACAGTGCAGAAAGACGCTCTGAGACCCTCCTTTCCTCTGCCATCGCCCAATGCTCAGACAGCCGCAATCCCGCCCAAATGCATGGCAGGGATCACCCAGTGAGCTTCGGAGACCATGAGATGATGTGCAAGGGGAGTCACAAGAAGCGACAGGGGTTAGTGTCAGGGGCCCATTGCCGATTTGAGCCAGCTTTAATAACATGACGGGATAAGGATGGGAAGGATGAGGGGAAACAATTAGCCACAAACTTGGCTTTGATTGAATGGCGACTTTGATTGGACGGACAGTTGTTCACCATGAGTATCGACCCAAAGAGCCAAAAGGCTCCAAACTCCAAAGAGCAAGACATGACACAAACCTACGAATACATACGCCCTCACATAGAAGTTGCAAAAAACCTCTGCTGTGGGGCCATCTACGGCGACAGCTTCCCTCAGAGACGTTTCAACACTACTGTGTGCAACCACGAATACGTCAGCCCATCGTCCATTTGAGACTTGCCCAAGCTAAGGTACGGATTACGCATACGGAGTACGGATACAGAGCGCAGAGTCACCAACAGCGTACGGAGTATCCTTACCTCGCAAAGGATACATTTTTCTTTTCTTTTGGCCAGTGGTCACCGACTGTTGCTGATACGGGACACAAAGATCCAATACGATACGCATTGGCCGACTATCTTTTGCCTCAACGGAGGGTAATGTCTCTCGTCGTACCACGCCTTGCAAGTTGCGCCTACCCTCTTCTGCTACATTACCATCTCAACGTCCCTTTCTGCTGAGGTACCTGCGTCGCCGTTGCTAGCTTACAGCAGCTTCGCTAACGTCTGCCTCATCGTGCTTCTTACATGAATCTCCCAGCGGCACATCAGCTCCCGATCGGAGCTAGCGGCGCGTCTCACATTATCAAGTCGCGCTTGGAAGTTGGCAGAGACGCGGGCGTGGGGAGGACCTTGGTCTTGGTCCAAAAGAGACTAAGGCACGGAGTAGTGGGCACTGGGTGTGAAATGTGAATGTGATTGTCAACGTTGGATGGGAAGTGGACGCGGACGGGACGGTACCATTCGATTCGTTGCCAGGAACCGGCTCTTCTCATCGGCTCGTCTCGTCTTTTTTTGGACCTTCAACTCCCGTCAACCATACCTTACGTATACCCTCAACGCAGTACTCTACTTGGAGCGTCCAACTCGATCCGAAATCCTGGGCTGGGCACGGCCTACGTGATGTGGAATACACAATCGAGAATAGAAGACACGAAGAAGACGAGGACCGAATGCGAGGAAACAGCCACCCAGCCGACCAAGCAAGCCATGGTCGACTCTTAGTTGGATGGCGCGCGCAATCTCCCCCAACACGCCCACGAAGCCCACAGCTCTCGAATTAGCATCGACACATCTGACACCAACCACACTGCTTGAGCTGCGCATACAATCACTTTGTACAGCGGACTCGTGATGACGATCACGAGCGTGGTTCGACCTTTGAGTTATCAACGCTATCAGCCGGGCTCCGAGAAAGTCATTTCCTCTTTGGGTCACGCACGTACACATAGATGGACACATTCAGACTTTCAAGACTTTCAGACTCTGGTTCTCTATTGAAAGCGCCGGTGCCCCACACCGCACCGCCCTCATGTGTCATGTCCTGCCATCTCACGGCAACCACACTTGCAATGGAATCGCTCAAGTCTGCTGAGCGCGTTCGCTGCGTTCGCGAAGCGATCCGCCCGCGCTTGTATCCATACAATACCCTGCAGTTGGTCCTCGGAAAGCCGCCTCAGGGCAGGAGGCCCATCGTGGACCCCCTCTGTATGGATCCATGGATCTCTGTGCCCTTTTGTCGGTTCCTCTCTTCCACTATTTTCTGGATACCAGACTAGGAGTGCTGCTTGCTACTCGGAGGGTCGAGGCTGCATCTACTGGTCTTTCTCTCTACCGTCGCTGTCATGTTCCAATTGGCTCGGGCTCTTCCCTTTTCACGCACTGCAGTTGCCAGTGCATCCTTTCAGAATGCCATGTTGGGACGATGCCATGCAAAGTGGGTAGGATATGCAGGCGCATCGTGTGTCCTGCGTACGCACGTAGTGTATTGGGTCCTGTCGCCAAAGTGGCAGATGACTCGAGTCTCACATGAATGATCAGGGTTCGCAGTCCGCGCTCCATAGTTCGTAACTTCGTACCCCCTTGAGCCTTGGGAAGATATCGAGTGACGCGATGCACAGACAGTCAGTGGCAACACCATGGTGCAAACATTGGGACATTTCACACCCGCGGGCCCGTATGGCCCTGATGGGGCATATTGGGGGCTTGCCCAAGGACGAGGCTCGACCAACAACGTTTGCGCTATCTGATGCCGCTTTTTTGGTTCGCTGCTGACAATTTTTAAGATTGGCAACAGGATTCCGAGTGGTACCTATCGTGAACGAGCAGTACCAGGGGCACGTAGGAGAGAGGGCTCCTCTTTACTCACCCAAGGTGTTCGTACCTATTGAGTAAGGTGAGGTAGGCAAGATACCTTAGCGAGTCGCAAGGCGAGGACGACTACGAATACAAAGTACAAAGTATGTTCAGGTAAGGTGTGGTCCGGGCAAATTGCAATTAGCTGTCGACATCGCGAGGCTCGGCGACGGGTATATGTCGATGGACCTTATTCGCACCTTGCCTACCTTCAGGTGAGGTACCTAAGCATGGATGGGAGAAGCAGGAGCGAAGATGTCAAGGTGTGGGCTAGGTATCGGCGGAAGGTGAATGGAAGGTCCCTTGCTTGTTCTTACCTTACCTTACTGTACCTACCGGGTCTTCTAAGTTGCGGGCGGGCGCTCGCCCAGCTGGTCGGATCCGAAGCGCCGCCCCGTTATAACTTATGCCTACCTCCGCCCTCCGATGCGCCTGTGCCGTTGCCGTCCAATCCTTGTCCAGCCACAGACGGCCACCAAGCGCAGGTACGGAGTAAGGATACTTCGCAAGGTACTTTACCTATCTGTCAGTACGGAACCTGTGGAATATGTACTTCGTACCTCACGCGTCTGAATGCAGGTGCAGTTCGCCTCCACGTCGCTCCGCTGCTTCCCTGATAATATTTCCATCCACACGGGAGCTCTACTGCGTACAAGCCCCCGGTTAACCTCGCCTCTTCAGACGAACCGCTCAACCTCCTGCAGCACATCTCGAACCCCCCTCGTCCTTTCAGCTTCTCGTCTTCACTCCTCACCATTGATCCCGGCATGTTTCAAATGCATTTCCCCTTTGGGACGTTTCTTCGTTTTCTTCTTGCCAAACTCGCCATAGACATACTATCTGTCGGACGATGCATGAAAACCAGATGACTGGGCTGATTTCATCCGAATTCTGCCCTGGCATACGGATACATCATACTACATCAATGTCAAACCCGCAGAGGTGCACACAACGCAAAACGGCGCCAAGTTCCAACGACCGGCAAAACTCCGTCCACGGTACGGATACCTTTATGAAGCCATTTGCCTGACGAACCAACCAGGCCGACTCATTGTCATCCCAGCACTCGCTCGCAAAAGAGCATGGGGGCCCTTACGAATGGGGCCGAGCATCAGGGTCCCGCTGCCGAGTGGGCATTATTGAAATGTCTGCTCTTCTCCGACGGGACAAACGTGCCAGTTCCAGCGCTCAAGGAACAAATATCAAACTCTCCAAATCGGCCCATCATGAAAGCAAGGCGTCTCGGGCTCTCAGCATGTTAGGGGTCCGGATAAGCCACACAAGCTTGTTTGCAACTTTACGGATGGATGAATACCCTGCAAACACTCTATGCACTACTCCGTACCTTACGAGTACGAAGGCAGTTTGCCATCATCGTCCGTGGTCGCTTCATACTGCTGATATTGCGGGACGCTATGAAAATCCCCCACAGACGCCATCGTCGTCCACCCTTTTGCTCGCGCCTTGCTGGATGCGAACCCTATCACCGGGTCGTTGACTGATTACTCATTGTGAACGCGAGAGTCGGGACACTCCACCAACCCCTATTCGGGCTCTATCCGCCGGGCCGCCTTCTTCGACAGACTGGAGCCGCCAGCAATGGCCCTTCGGCGAGACTGGCTCAGTTCCCGCAAGGCCCGGCGCGTCTTGGATGGCACGCTGACTTAAGGAACCCAACAACCTTGGGGACAGCTTATGTCTACGCACAAAAGTCTCCAAGTCACTACAGCTCGCCATGGTGACTAGCGCCAATGACAACCACCCCCCTCCCCCTTGGAAGTTAAACCGAGAAAATACACATGGAAATAACAAAGGAGGGCACGGCCCAGGACTCGAGGCCGCCAACAATCCAAGACGAGCCTGGGTGATCCGAATCGCGAGGGGCCAAATTCTGACCGCGGCGGGCTCGGCGGTGCACAAAATGATTGAAAAAAAAAAAAAAAGGGGGAGGGGGGCCGACGCGCAGACTTTGAGGGTCCGAGAGCACTCAATCAGAGATCCCATGTTTGATGAGCCTGTGGGCTGGCGGCGCTCACAAACGGTTTAGCCGCAGCAGTTGGTGCCTCGTCAAGCTCGTGCCTCTGAGAGCCGTCCAACCGCCGTCAGCACATCAAATGATCTTTTGACGATCGTCCCTTGCCGAGACCTTGACTGCTGCGTCGAAGCTGGCTTCTGCAACGTTTGACCTTGATTGTCTGCGCCAGTCGATGGATCTGATGGAACCCACAACCGACTCATCTAGCAGTCTGCTTGCTTCATGGCGCCAGAGACCCGGAATGCCTCTGTTTGACCCCGGCTTCCGTGGTTTGTTTCTCTCTCCAGTGTATCCGTATCTGATTGACTGTGTTAGTATACATTTATTTTCATCGACCCAAGCCGTCCCGAGCCCGACGAGAGACCGATCGAGTGTCTCTCAAGTTGTCCAATCCTCCGTGCTATCCTCGTGCGTTTTTCTGCTCCGTCACTGTCAATGACTCCCGTCACTCCCAGGCGGTCTCGGACGCACTCACCCACATACGACGTGCCACCACAACGCGGTCCTCTCTCCATCACAAAACATTCCCCTCTTTCAGACTAACACCATCGTCTTCTGTCATCAGGTTGGCCGGATATTTTCTCATTCCCAAAGAGAAAGAACGGTGGATTACCCCATTAGCACCACCCAACATGCTTTCTCTTTGGTTTGCATCTAGCATACGCAGTTCCAGCTCCCGCAGCGGCAACGCCATCAAAGTCAATTCTCCAACCCGCAGGCTTGGCTCCTCTGGCGACTTCTTTGGGAAAACGCAGGCCTTGAAATGGCTTAGTCCAGAGTCAATGCCAGTGCGTATGTTTCAACAACGGGACGGGCTGCTCAAACACGAGGCTACGAGCAAGACCGACGCCACTCTGCTCACTATGCGGCCCGTGTATGCCCGTTTGGGGAAATTGGCCCTGCAGCTAATCCCGAGGGCGTGGCCGCCAACTCCGAACGGGGATGGGCACACCGGCATGCAAGCAACACGCCCGAACCCGGCTCGGCTTCGCTCGATTCGGACACCTCGCGACGCCTCATGAACTCAACGAGTCACACAACCCGCCAGCGCCTTTCAAACTTGACCTCTTCCCGCACGTTGACCAACCATGGCCTATGCCTGTCTGTTAGGCTTGAAAGCCCACTCGACGCCTCTGGTGGGCTCCTCAAGAATATGCGTTGGGCACGCGCTAATCATACTTGTATCCAACGACAACGACGACCACACCCGCAACCACAGCACACAGGCGTAACAGGCATAACGCCGGCTGCTCGTTGAAGGACGCCATATCGGCAACCGGTTGCTTGATAACTGTCTAAGCAACGGTCTACCCCATTTCGACTGTGGCACAGAAAAGACAATGGCTTGGACAATGGCTTGATGGAAGACGCCTCCAGCTATGCGCTCCTATCAATCCGTACATCCAAGTTCCATCTTCGGCTCGCGGCGGGAAACTTTCTGTTTTTCGTCTAGATGGTGCGGGTTTCCTTTCCCGAGGCTGAGCTATCCATCGAGTCCCGGTCACCGAGCGCAATGGAGCTCAGACAGACTGTCTATGCTCTAGACTCACGGTCCACGGTCTATGGCCTCTGCCATCCCATCATGGTCCCAGAAACCGAGTTTCCCTGAAGCTAAGGCGCGAACAGATGCCCTATTTCAGGAACGCGCAGGTTTAGGGCCCGTTGTCTGCAGAGGTTTCATCAACGCGTCGGGACCAGTCGACGCCATCGCGACTTGACAACGTGGCGAGGTCCATCTCGACGACTCCATCGCGACACACAGCCCACTTGATCGCCTTGGTCTCCGAGATCTACGGCAAGGGCCATTCCCCGCAGACTCTTCCCAAGGGTGCATCTCGAACGCTCATGCCTACTGCGCCGCGCTACGGGTTCCGCACAGCTTCCGCGACGTCTCTAGGTTTCGACGGCCTCTGCCATCGCGATGAGGTTCCTGCCAGGGCAGAGGCCGCCCGTCTTGATTCTTAGGCCGCATTGACGCAACCTTTGTGGTTGACAGACACACGGGCATGAGAGCTTCATTTCCGAAGAAGACGCCTTCTTCCCAAAGCAGGTCGGTGAAACACTGGGAAACTGTCATTCAGCTCCCGAGGAACAGTCCTGCCAAGGCCAAGGGACCAGCTGAGATCGTATGCGAGGAATCGCGCTTTTCTCCGAGGCTATCGACCGTTCAGTACTCTCAACAACTCTATTTACAGCCCTGAAGGGTTGTAATGTGCCGCTTTGCCGCGCAATGTTCGACCCTCTATCAACGCGACGTGATCTTGGCTCTAGGCCCATCTCAGCGAACGTACGCGAGGCGTCAAGAATCTTTCGTATACGGTGTTGCTATCTTGTTATCTTTCCCTCGCTGAAATGCGCATCTCCTGAATGGGGTCACGACTTGCAGATATTGCAGCCTGGAAAGGGGCCCAAGTTATCCGTAATGCTGCTCGTGCTGTGGGCCAGAAGGAGTCATGTGCTTTGGGCAGTCCGGAGACTCCAAGATGATCCCCCCTCCCTTCTCCTACAAAGAGGAACAGAACGACAACAATCACTGTTATGGAGCCTCAGGGGTAACGATCGCCCGTGCTTTGCTGATCTCTTTCCAGGCTCGGGTATTCCCTCACTCGATCAATCGCAGGCCACGAAAACTGTAGATGCGGATTGCCCGGTGGCAAAAAGCAAGCATCAAAACAGATCAACAAGTGTTCCTGCATCTCTTTTTCCCAGGGTTTCTGCCTAGTTTGTAGTCGGAGTGGTCAAGTTTAGTGTCCCTCGCACGAGTGGAACAGGAGCATGGCAACAGCGATCTACTCGTCTACAAGGCTCATTCCCGCCCACAGATCTGACTTGTCAGGCTTGGCTCGAGCCCTTTTGGCAGCTCTGACACCGCGCGGCTCGCATGCTGATTTTCAGAATGTGACCCTTTCATCAATTAATGAGTTTCGGTTCTGGTGAATGTTGCCACGTAAACCTTGCCTAGCATCACTCGCGAAACATCCTACGATATGTCAAGAATCAGCATCGTGGCATGACGTCAAGAAGTTCTTACAGCCTGGGAGCGCTCCCGGCGGTCCACTCTTGGAGGCGGAGACTCCCCTTTCGAACTTTGATCGAATTGTTCAGAAGTCGATCACGCAGAATTTCGAGGCGGTGACGAGTTGGAGTCTATGGGCCGTGAACTTGAATCGGGATCTCATGTAGATGATGCATTTTCGCCGAAAGCTGAAGTCGCATCACATGTGTGGTGCCCAAACCCTAATCCGAATCTTGACAGCACAACTGTAGATCGAAATTGAGCACCGTGGTACGGATACCTGTATCACATGATTATTGCTGATCTGGGGTAGATCCCCAGCCTTGGCGGCTGCGAGGGTTCGAGTGCCTATTGAGGTTGTGAAAGTTCGTTGGAGTGAGACGGTGACGCATGAAGTCAGATTTCGTAGCCAATACAGATAGCATTTTAAAATGCGCGATTATGTGTCTCTGAAATCTTATTGTTCGCAAAGACCGTGTCGAATTGCGGCGTATGTGATAACTTCAGTTTGATGACTGAATGAGGTTGAACAAAGATGAGTTGGGAAATCAAACGATCCTTGCGAGCAGCGCGGCTCAATCAGTTCTCAGGCAATCTCGCTAACATTGAAATATTGAACATGCCCAGAAAAGTTGCTGGTCCGACAGACTGATCTGTGGACGAACTGCAAAGTAAGGTAAATGAGTATTTCAATATCATCGATGTCGTCAGAGAAGTAGGGTTGCTGTTCTCAATATCATCGGAGGAGATGATATTGACTCAAATACTTGCTTCTTGTGATCTGATATTCCCAATTCAATCTCCTTTGCCTAGCGGGCCCGTTACCATGGGTGCTCTTGATGGAGATGTTTTTTCGTGGCTTGAAGCTATTCGGTCCTCGGAAAGTCGCAGTCTTGCCTGGTTTGAAAATCGCTCTTGCCTTTGGTCATCGCTTTTCGGGATTCAAGATGCTTTATGAGATGGAGAGATTACATATGATGGACTTTGATAAGATGGCTTAGTGATGACAGGATGACGACGAGGATGGCGGCGGCCTCCCCGTTGGAAGTGTTGACGGGGTTGGAAATTCATAGGGCAGTGTGAGCTGAAAGAACATCAATGTCGTAGCATCACTCTTTCCCACTGCTACTCAACTGTGGCTACCCCTTCCGAGGCTTTCTGTTCTATCTGGATCTGCTGCAACGACACGGGCCGAATGACTCGGCCTAAGGGTCTCAAGTACTGGATTGTATCCCCGTGAGACTTAAAATTAGCTTCATTCAGCCGTTCCTCAGTCACTCTGAGTCTCAAGATATCATACTGATGCATCACAGCTTGCCATGTCTGTAGTACGGATGAGTCCATGGCCAACATCCACGTTCCTCTCCGAGAAAGGACAGCTTCCCGCTTGGTACGGAAAGCTTGGTACCTGAATAGCACTGCCAACCCCTTTCGCCCGTTCCAAGTCTCCATTGTTTCTAACTGGGGCACCTTTTCAGCTACTGTCGCCGCTGCCAGAATTAGGGCGTCAATCTCAATTGAGTCTTCATGACACGTGAGTACCTTTGCAGTGAGAGCAAGCGATTTCAGGTTCGGCCACGCCAAGTCGGGACGGGTCTCGAAGAAGTGGCTGGCGTCTGCGATGTACGATGCTGCGAGATGTTCGAGGCTGAGGCTGGTGAGCGTGATCATCTCGCCAATATCTCGGATAGGCTTGCGAAGGGCGTGTGTCCCGACATCTTCTCCCGAGAGGAATTCGCGTCTTCGCTCATTGGCTGGGTACTGTTGGTTGAAGTTCTCGAAGACGACGAGTCATTTGAGGCTATCGTTGGAACTTCGGATAGAGTCCAAAACAATATGGTAATCTAAAGCACGCGGAAATCGATGACTATCAATATATGCTCACTTAAGTACGCATATCAAAGCGAGCAAGAACTTCAAAAATCAGCCCGCGAGAGTTGTGCAGCAATAAGTTACCTCTGCCTGTCGAATTCTGCGTCGGGTTATCCCATTCCCTCCACGGTTCGTAGTGGACTTCCTGGAGTCTCGGAAGCCGGGCAAACATGTGTGCCAGCGACTCTGGCTTCCATCTCCGGCGGCTTTGTTGTCGAAGAAGTGAACTGGTCACGGCTGGGACTGGTGAGAGCTTGTTCCACCACTCAAGCTCTTCTTCGTCACTGTCAAACGGTCCCTGCTCCATAAATAGATGGGACAGTTTCCTGAGGCTCCAAGGAGGTGAGACGAGGTGTCGAGAGCCGTGTAACCAGCCATCCTCAGGGTCGTGATAGTATCGATTCGCTATCGCCTTCTCGATAGTATGATCATCTAGTATATCCGAAGGCGTATCAGGCAGAAAGGTCAGATATGGGAACCAATAATCCGAGTCGTTGGGTGAGTATAGACTGATATCAAGTTTCAATCGCTAAGAGGTTCCCATTTGCCGAGAACTGAGAAAAGGTCCTGGAATGACGCGGTGATGGGACACTTATCTGTGCCGCTGATCGCAAGTGCCTCTTCAAACTCATCTGAAATCGTCCTTCCGGGCGAAAGAGCGCACGTGGTGCAGTCGTACTCGTCGAGTTCCAGGCAGAACCGGATGTAGCCGACGAGAGTTCGGTTTCTTTGAATTATGGCACGAAAGTTGGCGAGGCGTGACAGAGTGAGTCTGATTCGAGCAAAGTTGTGTCGCTCGATATCTGTTTGCCATTCTCGAGACACAGTGGCCAAGGGAGCTAGTGGGCAACCATCCTGCATCACTTTCTGTCAGATAAGAAGTCGAATTTCTCTGGGCAGGTTATCCCATTTTGAATACCAATGCTTTTTGTCGAGTGGTACAGAAGATTTGGGTTGGGAAACCGAGATTTTGATTATTCTGACGATGAAAAGATCGAGGTAGGAAGATGAATCTTCTGGTGTGGGCGTATATGATTATTGTAGAATGAAAGATGATCCAGTCATGACCAAATATATAGAATATCAGTGAACAGGCCGGTTTTATTGTGATCGTGCTTGTGTGGCTGGAATAAGAGACTTCCGATCTGGACGCTGCGTGCGAGTGGCCATGTAAGGTTAGCCATTGAGTTATCAATCCGTTTTGAGTTTTCTCATCTCGAGACCATTGAGGTTGGTCTTCTGTCAAGCTCGCGGTGGCCGTGTTTGAGGCTGCCGCTGTACCGGCCTGGCTCGCGTCCGTTCTAGATACCAGCTTTTCATCATGGTCCAACCTCTTCATCAGGGTCTCCCGTCATGATGTTGTTGGGTTCGCGCACCTTGCAGATCCTCTTCTTCTTACTACGCATAGCGTTGGCGAAAAAACTTGAGGTTGGCCATTGTGTCGTTGACAAGATGGCTGAGTACAACAGATGCCTGTGTTACCCATTATTGTCTGCTGGTGTTTATGTTTGTGCCTAGAGTATTCGGCGATGTATATATCAAAGAGATCGGGCCAAGCACGACAAGGACAGAGGCGGAAGCAGCAGTAGCAATAGAGAAAGTAGTACTGATAGTAGCAATACTTGTCCTAGTATAGTAAAACGTTCCGAGACCTTTTTATACTCTTTCCTAAGTATTAGGTCACGTTCTTTTTTAGATTATAAAACCTGCGGTTTAAAAAGGGTTGGCCTTAGTTAATTGTTTAGGTTTAAAGTGTAAAGGTTACCAACTTCCCTCAATTCCACACCGCATCACCACCACCACCACCACCACAAAACCACGATACAATCTCACCCAAAAAGAAATCCAATACATACAACACCAGGTATTCGCTGGTCGTCACCGACCCAACTACTAATCCGGCCCTCATTGGCTTATCTATGGGAGAGCGGACGGGATCCCGAGTTTTCCAATGGGTATGGTCGTATGTGACAGATTGAGGTTGCGAAGCTACTCATACAAGAAGAGCCTGACGGATGCCATCGATGGTGATGGTAATTATGGCTGGTCTTCCCTGCCACCCTCGTCGAGAGCGTCGAGAACCCGATACGGTTTCTACTGCGTGGAGATCTGAAATTTGTGGGTGCCAGGGTCCACAACCGGCCCAAGCCTTCGGCGTCGATGGCTGAGCTCGCCTTATCCGAACTTCTCCCAGATGAAAATACTCATGGGAACCGGAGAGCACCATTATCGTTGAGGTCGTTGAAGTCCACATTCTCGAGTCCACCAAACGAGTCTTCGTTGCCTAAAAAGCTCATATCAAGCCAATCCATTGGGTTCAAAGAGGCGACGTCAACGGCCCGTGACCAGTCGGTCATTAAACTATCTGGAGTCTCATCAGAAGTATGATCTTGCCTTCTCTGTGTATCGTTGCTGGCCTCTCCACCTAGTCCGGAAACCAGGAGTCGAGAGAAAGCGGAGTAGAGACTGGCTATAGATGTTGCTGGAAGCGCCTGCGCTTTCTCTTCAAGCCATGTCGAGATGGCCCGGATTTGGGACGCCGCCGTTTCGTGATCTACAGAAGATATATCTCCTCGACTCAGAGCCTAGAGGTATAAGTCAGTACTAGAAGGACTATGTGCAATGGCGGAATACCACCCACTTGGACAATCTCCGTTATGGCGTGGGCAACCATTACGAACTGGTTGTTGTGCCACCCCAACCCAATGTCAAGAACCGTTTGATCATGTAAAGCTAGATCCAGAAGTTGACGTGCGGTTTCAAATGCCTTACTGTTAACCGCGACAATAGTCGAGGCTGTTGCTCCACCCAGTCTCCTCAACTCCCTTGCAGCTTGCGCGTTGAGAATCATGAGACTGTGTTTCATGTAGAAGGCTAGGATAGGCAACGTCGGTGTAGACGACGCGTCATTTTCGTAGCACCTGATCTTGCATGTTCGATCAAGAACATCGTAGTTTTTCGCATGCCAAATCGAGATGGACACAGAAGTCTTCTTCATCCGCTCCAACTGCTTTAAGGACTCCAGCTACTCACCTCAGCTATCAGCATTGTAATATGTTGTGTCCACACAGACGCTGGATCGAAGTGAGAGAGATGGGAGACAGCAAATAGAAAGAAATCTTTTCACTTACCAACTGAACTCTGATCTCAATTATACCACTAATCATACGATCAAGAGGTGTTGTCATCGACTTCTTCCACCACTGACATGGACAAGGCGGGAGCTCTTTCCAAGCCACGATCGGGGAGCGGCCCATGACGATACCGAAGCTCTTGTCGGCTATGAAAACGTATAGCCAGGTCCTTTCGAGATTGCGTGAGAATCGCTCTCTCATCTCGACAGTATTGTCGGGGGCTAAAGCTTTGACAAGATCAGCAATAATAGTGGGCTTGTTGATTCCGAGTTCTTTGGCAAGTTGTACAGCCTGTGTGACAAGAGTGTTAGAGTAAGCTCATAATAACCTCGTTGGATTTGCTCTTTATGATCTCACATGACTAATGTGAAGCCAGTGGGGGTCGTCTCCCTGTTTCTGGTACATTGGTGCCCAGTACTTCATCGCTAGGATTGCTTGGATCGTCTCTAGTGATCTCACTGGCACCGCTATGGACCATGCGAGATTCGCTTCTGCTAGGGAAAGCAGAGTTGGATACAGGATTCGATCCCGCGGGCGTGTCGAAATGGCGCACCCGAGAGCGCAAATGACGGAAAATAGCGTAAAGGATGCGTGACGGACGTATTTAGGGGTATGTAGATCGGGATCCAAGAGCCCTAGATGCGGATTGCGCGTTTGGAAGAACCTATGTGTGAGGTTTCTCAGTAAGTAAATCATCAAGACGGGTCTTTTCAAACGAACAGCTGAAAATACAATGACACGTCATCTTGATCCGCCAGGCGCGCAGTCACGGGGTCACAAGCGGTAGTCTCCAACTTCAGTGTGCTGTTGATCGACTGAGACGCCAGGACATACCAATCCGTATCATGGGTCACACGAGGTGCTAGATCGTAATCAGTCAATATAATCCAGGCGACAAAGACATAATGTTCGAGCTTATTTCGGCTTACTGAAGTACTCTATCAGCCTCTTTCTCATCGAACCTTCGTTGCCTCGTCGACCGACTGCATCGAGTGGCAGGTACGGCATGGCTGTGTCGACATTCTGATTTGCGAAACTCGTATCCTTTGTCGTAAAAGCAGCTGCCATGATATGAAGGGGTGACACAACGGAACTCTCCTTTTTCAGCTTTGAACACGGACACGGGGAAAGAGTCGAGTCCGGCGGCCCATCACATTCTGACTCTTCACTTTGCTCGATGAGAGCAGGGAATATCGTTTCATCCACTACTGCCGCATCCAACTGAGCCGGCACACTGTCTCTCAAACTCGAGAACGAGTCTAGAGCTGACAATTCAGAATGCGACTGAGCTTTAGATGAGTTGATGATGGCTACGATGACTTGGTCCCGAACAGGACTTTCGTTGATACGGTCCAACAGCTTTTGAACGGTGTCTGGCTTGCTATTTTCCCGTCAGCCTCTTCGACAGACCATTGGATGAATGCCTGGCAGTCTCACTCACTTTGTGCTTCCTTCCTTCCTGCCTCGATTGGACTTCAGTGGATAGCGACAAGTGTGCCCTTGAATGACGCATCGTGAGCTGCAAGCGATGTCAGCGATGGATCATTTCGCTCATGGGTTTGGGCTTGTAGAGAGAGCTCACCAAGGAGTCCGCCGGTCGCACTTCTGTCTAGCTGCGCGGCACGTAAAGCAAGCAGTGCGGTGCTGGCTAGTGCTTTCTGGAACCGGCGCGTTTCTGTTCCTGCGTTGATTTGCACGCCTCCCCTGATGTGAATGATCTCCGAGTTCATCTCGGTGGTCTTGTCCAAGTTCGTCCATTGTTATCGAAACCTTCGGGCGTACTCTATACTGGAGGCATGTAACTGGGAAATCTCAATAGTATTGCAAGACCCTGGGATTCGTGAAGTTGTCTGAACGAAAGAAGAGTAAGTTTGTAAGTCCCCTCGGGCTTTAGATTTAGTCCCCGCTCCTGGTCTGACGTCGCAAACCCTAAGTCGTGACTCAGCAGCAACTTGTGATAGAACGTCGGCAATACCTTCGGCTCTGCGAATTATAAGAGCTATAGAGTTGATTCCCATCCAAAAAGCAGTCAGAGTCGGATAGCGAGATCTGGCTGCCTTTCTGGCGTGCTTGGATGCGTACATGGTCCACAGACATGTAGTTCCTCATACCGCAATAGCCGAAACATAAATAAAAGCACATCGTAGGGTTCATCCTAGTTCAAGTCACTTCTCAAAATCATTGAAATCTTTCTGGTGCTTCATTCAAACGTTCTTCTCAGCTATCTGCGTAAGCAGTTACATTAGGTAGACAACTTACCTTCGTCCTTACCCCGTCGTGCTTCCTTCATCCTAAATCAGCTTTGGCTCTACCTCTTCGACGCGTTCACCGGGCGGCAAGCCAATCTCAACCCAGCAACCGGCCTGACATCCGTGACACTTTGGGTCTCTTTCGCCTGCGTGCTCTGGGCAATACATGGGTCCGCGTGGCCGGCGCGGCGGCGCTCTCTGACGGATCTCCGGTCCCGAGAGTGGGGCTGAGGTCAACAATTCCGGATGACTGGGGCCGGCGATGTTCTTACCCTTGCCGTTCTCCTTTCCCGGGCCGTTGTTCTCAGGGGAGTGGTTTGGCTGCGAAAATTCAGTTACTTTCATCAGCATGACTGGGCTAGGGCTAGGTTTAGATTTTTTTACTACTTTCTCGACTGGTGCATTGAGACCAGCAATTGTAAAAGGAGAAAGCGGGGGAATGTCTGGCAATCTCACGTTGCTGGCTGAGTCGTCGTCACCAGTGAAACTCTTGAGGTAGAAGTTTATAAGGTCATCGATTGTGTCGCTCCGTTCGTCTTCAGGATAGCAATTTGCCGGATCGCCCGAGTTCTCCTCTTCAATGTTACCTATCTCGCCGTAGTATGAGTGCAGGTTCGCGTTATTCTCCGGCTTCACTACCGCGGCTTGGCGTAATTCCAGTACATCCTGTATTTCATGAGTGCCGCCTGTCAGAGCTTCATAAGCAGACTCATGGTAGTCAAGAGTGCATAGCAAAGCGTGATTCTTGCCGTGTTCGTCATTGTTAATCAACGGGCAATGAACACCACTAAAGCTGGAGAAGGCACTCGCGATGTCTGCCGAAGAAGACGATGAACGAGGTAAATGATCCGAGGTTACCGAGCTAGAAGAAGCAGTGACACCAGTAGCATCACTAGAGGCTGCTATTGCTTTTCTGAACTCCTCTTCTGCTCTCATCTCAAGCTCTGCTTGTTCCCTGAGCCTTTGGATATCCTTCTCATGGTTGGCTGCGAGCTCAGCAAATAGTTTTTGCCGTCCCTGAAATTCAATTTCGCGGCGCTCGTGAATTTTCAGGCGACGCGATGGTGTGTTCCGAGGAGGGAGCGTTGCTGAGACAAAAGCGACTGGTCGTGGTGTTTGAGCCGCTTCGGAAGACAGGGCCAACTCGTTTCCATAACCATCTCGGTGCATATCTTCCGCATTGCTGGTATGGCTCAACTGATGAGAGAATTCGTACGTCTTGAAGATGTCCCCGGCATTGACTAGACGTGAGGCCCAACTAACAGTCGCCCTCTGTCCACCGACTGCCATCCGACAGACATCCGTGCGATGTTTCCTCCGACACAGATCGCACGAAGGGTGTGTTATAGGCTCGCCAAGAGCATAGACGAGTGACTGCACGGAAGCAGCCATTACCATGTCTTTGCTGAGTTCCGTTCCATTTCGCGCAAAGGTGTACCATGATGAGGATAGCTCCATGCTCGTTTCTGTAAGCGCCGAGGAGGGGACCATGAAGGGATCGACGGGGCGGTGCCATTTCTTTACAGCCTTGAACTTCCAGTAGTTTTCGAGCAGTTCCGACGCGCTGACGGAGGAAACGTCACTGTCTCTATAAAACACCTCGCAGCGTTGGCAGAAGCCTAGGACGGTGGCCAGGGCCTGGGTGTGCTGGCAGAGAGGTACGATGCAAGCATTGCGGTCAGTTTTGTTTTTGTTTTTGAGGAACTTTCTGCACTCGATCAGCTCAACTGCGGAATGGGCACATACTGTGTAAATGGTCTTCTGGGTGAAGCACATGTTGTTGAATGTTGATGATTTAGGAAGGAACCTGTCTTGGAGTCGGTCTGTGGCGAGCTTCGTCGTTGTTGTCGTCGTCGATATTGAAGGAGCTACCAGTTTGAATACGACGGGTCAGAGGCAATGTAGAAATACAGTACCGGCAATGCAGCTAAGGCGTCTTTTATAAGATGAGACTCATCTTGTGTTCGTGGTCAGGCAGCGTGGGTGCCCTATCTCGGAGCATTGATGGTGGAAGTCCGGCTTTGTGATACTTGGACGGTGCCATTGTTCCACGAGAAACAGCAGAGCCACTACAAAGGGTAGGATAGAGGAACGTAGGCACCTGGCATTGTAGCCTCTAGTAAGACAATGTCTTCTTCAAGTGCTTGTACAATTGCTTTGTTCCGAGCAGGCGAGGTATCCGCGGTCATCCTTTTCCGAATCCATGACCTTCACAGCAGGCAGGAATCTCTCCCACCTCATTTACTGATGCATTGCGACTTCACCGGAGGCAGGCCAATGGCGAGCTGGTCGGATTCTCTCTGCTGCCAACCAGTATCACGAGCATCAAAGTCGGATGGAACAAGATTGTCTATCACAGAGCCCATAGGTCGTTGTCGTTAACGTCGTGAATTCGTAGGTATGACTAGGTAGGTACAATTCTTAAAGTCCCATTCCAGGGTCCTCTTCCATGTTTTATGCTGAGTACCGCTACTCCTCAAGTCCAAGTTGTCTAGCTGCCATTTTCAGGTCGCCTTATTCGTGAACCCCAACGTAGCGCAGCTTCCCTCTCATATGAGATGTTCGACGACGGGCCCGATGATTTACAGGCCGTACTTCTTGTCCTTGTCCTCGATGGGGATATCCTTGCCGGTGGTGTTCTTGTACTGGCCGCGGATGAAGTCACTGATCTGCTCGTCTTTGGCCTGCTCAGCGGCGCTCTCGTTGTCTTGAGGACCTTGACCGAGGAACTTTTCTTGGACGAAGTCGACAGCTAAGGGTGATGTTAGTCTTGTGATGGTGTATTACAGAGAGTAATTACGCACCCTTGTCAAGGCCGTCTTCCTGCTTCTCGCTCTCGCGGCCACCGCCAGCCATGCCGTTGAGCTTATCCATGAAGCCGCCGGACTCCTTCTTCTCGGGCTGATCAGCGGAAGAGGCTGCGTTGTTGTTGTTGTTGTTGCCTCCAGCAAGGTTCTTGACGAAGTCCATGATGAAAGATGGAAGGTTTTGACTTGGTGGAATAGATGTAGTAGTGGTCAATATTGTGTATCAGGATAATCGGTCTTGGAGGCTCGGGAGAAATAAAGTCAGGTCAAAGTGGGATTAAGAATGGGATAGCTTGGCTACTTGTAGTTCGACTAAGGTCGCACGAGGAAGAGAGACAGGGAACCGTCACCAGGGCGGGGAGGTGAGGGGAGACCATCGGGAGACGATAGTGGCTTAGACCAGAGGTAACAGAGCGAGTACCTTACCACCTATCTTAGCTGCATCCAGCAGGCGGGCACCATCATCTTGCCTGTCCTACCTGGTCTTGGCAAAAGCTAGTCGAGGTGCAGCAAGGAGGCATGAGATTGGGAGCCGCGATACAGCTCGCAGTTTCCCACACGTCGGTGGAGTTACATCATCAGCTGGCCAGGGGTGCACTGACGCGGGCCAAGTTTCTGCCAGCATGGCTTGCACGTTGCGCCATATAGAGAGACCTTAGACAGACGATGACGAGGGTACAACTACCGACACTCGACCTCAATGTGCAACAAGGTCGCAGAGGAGGAACAAGATAAGCATGTAAGCCCAGGTAAGACAGTCCAAACAATGCTGCACAGGGCGCTTCTACGGTTTGCCAAGAAATCCAAACAAGCAATTCAGCCAAAGAGTGTTGGCAGACTCATGGTCCACGGAGCTAATCCACGCTTGGTGACGTGATGGTCGCTAACCTCCTGTCACTTCAGCTGGCTTCGTTCATGCCCCCTGTTCAACCCCGCCAAGCTTGTCCTGATGTATTCGCTCTCTTCTCCGTTGTTGTGTCATGTGGCTAGGTACCCCATCCTCAGATCAGATGGACCCCACCGAGTTTATCAAGCCACACATCGCGGGGCTTTGTGGCGGCGACCTGCTCGAACTTCTGTGGCTTGTGTGTTTCCATGTTCACCGGCTGAGTCATCTCCGAAAGCGAGCTCTTCGTCATCAATTGAATGCTGATGCCCCGCCATCTCGAGCTTTAAGTCATTGCGACGTCGCAAAACGAGGGCCAACACTGTTCCATCAATCCCTCATTTTACAACTTACACCTGGAACAGCTGCGGGAGCTTGTCCAATAGTGCAAAATGGCTGCCAAAAATGCACCAGATCTTCTCAAGCGACCTCTTTACGGTTCGTCTTCTCTGCAACTACTACCCCGCCATCGTCAACTGACCCAGTCGCAGTATATGATCTTCCCCAGGAAGTCCTGACAACACTCACCCTTAAGTCCGACGCCTTCATATCCGATCAGGCCCCTCCGTCGCCTCCCTCGAAAGATACATCTTCCTCCGATCTCGTCGGCTCACAAGCCTGCTCCCTTTGCGGAGTTACTTTTCCCATCGTCATCGATCAGCGAAGTCATCAGAAATCCGATTGGCATCACTACAACTTGAAGCAGAAGCTGCGTGGCGCACAGCCGGTATCCGAGAATGAATTCGAAAAGTTGATCGGGGATCTTGACGAGAGTCTGTCGGGATCAGACTCAGAAGAGTCTGAGGATGAAGAGAAGGAATCCACACTCACAGCACTGCTGAAGAAGCAGGCGACGCTGGCCGACAAGTACGCATCACCAACCGCAGATGACAATGAAGGAGAAGAAGACACGATACGACACAGAGGGAAAGGCAATCCGCCTCTGATTTGGTTCAGCTCACCAGTTCTCCCATCAAACACATACTTTGGCCTCTACAGGGCTATCCTCAGTCCCGAAGAGCTGCGCGACGAGACGAAGCTAGTGGATATTGTTAGAAAGAAGCAATTGGACCCAATAGCCGCGCCAAAGGTCTCTAAAGACGGCGCAGCACCGCCACCAGCGGCGTACAAAGGTCCTCACTTCTTCTTGTGCATGATTGGCGGTGGCCATTTCGCCGCCATGGTTGTAGCATTGCCGCCGCGACAGAACAAGTCTTCCGCAGGCGCAATGAATCGCGAAGCAACCGTGCTTGCTCACAAAACATTCCACCGGTACACGACTAGACGAAAGCAGGGTGGTTCGCAATCAGCCAACGACAACTCCAAGGGAAATGCCCACTCGGCCGGTGCCAGCATCCGTCGGTACAACGAACAAGCTTTGGTGGACGATGTACGGAATCTTCTCCAAGAATGGAAGGGACTGCTTGATACGTCTGAGCTTCTCTTCATTCGAGCAACGGGGGCAACGAATCGAAGGACGCTATTCGGACCGTATGACGGACAAATATTGAAACACAACGACGCGAGGATACGAGGGTTCCCGTTCAGCACGCGAAGGGCGACACAGAACGAGTTGATGAGATCTTTCATCGAGCTCACGAGACTAAAAGTCAGAGAAATCAACCCAGAGGACGAGATTAAACCGAAGTCTGAGACGCCTACACCCGCGAAGAGTGCCGCTCCGAAGCCGACGAAGCCAAAGCTTACAGAAGAAGAGGAGACTGCGCTATTGCATACATCACAGATTCAAGCGTTCATCCGGCGCTCGAAACTTCCAGCCCTACTATCCTACCTCAAGACCAATGACGTGTCTCCCGACTTCCAATTTCAGCCGGCAGACCAGAATCACCATTCACCAACACCCCTCCACTTGGCTTCTCATCAGAATGCTGCGCCTCTAGTTCTCGGCCTCATCACACGCGGCGGTGCATCTCCTCTGATCACCAATAAAGACGGCAAGACTGCGTTTGAACTTGCAGGAGACAGGTCAACAAGAGACGCTTTCCGGGTGGCGCGATCAGAGCTTGGCGAGGACAAGTGGGATTGGGAGACCGCACGCGTACCAGCACCTCTGAGTAAGGCGGATGCTGAGAAGCGTGACGAGAGAGATAGAAAGGAGAAGGATGAACAGGAGACGGCAAGAAGGCGTGCCGAGGAAGAGAGGCTACGGGTAGAAGGACCCAAAGTTGATGGCAGGAAGCCAAAGTCTGGCGGTCTGGCGGCTATAGCGGCTACGAAGACGGCGCAAGAGAAGAGAGTGGAAGAAGCTAGAGGCCTCACACCGGAGATGCGTATGAAACTCGACCGGGAGAGGAGAGCAAGGGCCGCCGAAGAGCGCCTCAAGCGCATGCAGAATAACTCATAGTCGTGATCGTCGCCGAGTGCGCTGTCAACGATCTTTGATCCATCTAAGACAGGCTGAGCAATTCGGACATGTTGGACTAGTCTCTGAACAGACAAAACAATGACATGGCTGATCCAAACGTTTCTCTCTGGTATTTCATGACTGATGTTGCACAACGACGATAGGGAGTTCTCGACTATGCGGTGAAGTACAGTGATTCCACACGCTTCTCAGTTGCAGTGTTCCTGGTAATATTCAGACATGACACTCGTATCATGTGGAAATCGGTAATTTTATTTCGAGGATATAAAGCTCTTTAAGTTAGTACAATTCTTTCAACATCCGTTCTCATGGTGTACTCCTATGATTTGCGCCAGTACTCGTCATGAGGTAAACCCTGACATTAGCCCGAGAAGCACGAGGTCATGATCTTAATATCCTGCCTCCCGGCAGCTCGAAATTCAAAAGCGGCAGCATACATATGGATGGCTTTCGTATCTGAGGTCACTTTAACTGAGAAACAGCTTTACGACTTGCAGTAATGCCTTCATCTTGAGCCTGGTCACTCGGTCTGCTGCGACTTTGGCTGTACAGCACAGATCGACGTGTCCTGGTGCTCTCAGATGCAGGGCGAGATTTGTTCCAGCGTCTTCGTTGTTACTTGACGGGTGCTGGGATACAGGCCTCCTGAAGATTCGCGATCAAGCTGTGGTGAGTTGTCACTAAGGCCTTGCAACGCTCAATAAAATATACATCATCGTTATAGCCCAAGATTGATTCTAAACATCTTTGAATATACCACGCTGGCAAAAGAACGACATCTATCGTTTGTGGTTATGCGAACTCGCAGCCGTTTAACCGATTTTTTTTTTTAAATTCTTTTTTAAGAATATCTCCTTGAGAACCTATACTTCCGTGCCGGCCAGATCTAACGTGGCTTGATACCTAGGGTCTCTCGAAATTCAACATCATCACCACTAGCCCCGGAAACATGCGTCACATGTTGTATCAAGCAAGATAGCCAGAAAGCCAAGCAACACAAACAGCATCTACTATCGAGACACTCAACCAGAGCCGAATGGTTTCTCGAACATTCTCAGAGGAGAAGTTATGGATTGAAGCCGAGAGACCTGGCTACAACATCTCGAAATGGTTTGATTCAGTCTTGCCAGCAAGGCTGAGACGTTCCCACAACCATCGTAATCATCATCCAGATACAACGGACACAAATTTACCGTCTGAGGAACAAATGTATACCTGCTTACGAGCTGTGAGATCTTCCACAGACGACCTTGCTCTCGCTACAGTCTAGGAACAGGCATGGCCGCGGCAGCATGCCATGGACCTTCAACCTCAACATCCCATGTGAAAGTCGGATGCTATCAAGAAACACACCATCTAGATCCAGAGTATCCCACGCCGTACTGTCCACGGGTATTCTGTGAGTATCATGCCATACTACCTCGTATCTTGAAGCCCTTGGTCGTGAATACCCGTGTTTCGCGTGGAAACTCGAGACAAGTTTTCGAATATGCAAAGCCACAATCTGCGACCAACTACACGATAAATCGCCCGTGTCTCAAAAGATCATGCACGCGAAAGGTATCCAAAACCTCTCTCGAACGAGCTTTCACGACACCCAACACTCAACTCTCGGCTGACACCACCGGAAACGTCCAAAGCCGCCGCATACCAATCGGTCTTGTTCTCCATACACTCGGTAGACTAGGCATGTCTCTCGCCGCCCGAAACACACCTCATCCCACAAACAGAGTCCATCGCGAGAAATCAATCCCACAGGGCGAAACAAAACCACGCAATCTCACCTCGTATTCTTCCCAAAGTCCACCTCCCCTGAGTCTCGACCGTTCATACGACCATTGTCTTACACACCGAACCACAACGCCTCTCCACAAAACGTCAACGTCAATGCATCCAAAGACAGGCATACCTATCTTCAACCGACCGCAAAAGTTTTGCTTTTTCTCAACGTACGAGGTCGTAAAACCGCTCGTTGCTTATTCCTCTGAAACAATTTCTACCTAGGGCCACCGCCAGTTCACTGTCCACCCACATCTACAATCCCGATTTTGCCGTAGAATCGTACTTCAGCTCCCCTAAAAGGTGGTTCCCAATAAGATCCCCAAAACGGTCGGGTATCTGCATTAGATCCCAAATGAGACAGGGCAACTGAAGGCCTTCAGAGTGACCTCAAACTTGACGGGAACGTTGCAGAGGCATGTGACGAATACAACGGCAACGCAGCAAGATCCGACTCACCGAGCCTTACAGCTCTTCTCCCCCGCGGCCTCCGTAGCCTGACATCTTGACATTCGCGCTCGTGCAACGGTCCTCGCACGTAAAAGTAAAGCCGAGAAACAAGCCCCCCTCGACTGATGAATGTTCAATATATCACAGGCTCGTCTGACAAGCATGAACGAAGCTGGATGCCATCTTACCGTGGATTCACATCCAACCCACCACAGCGGCGCAGACACAGCCTTTCCCACCTTCTCCAGGAGTTCAGTCTGCTACACAGGGCAGTGATGGGCATCTTGAAGAGCCGGCAGCACGGGGTATCCGTACCCGCCTTCATTACGGCAGATCGCCATAGTTGAGTTGGCGATCACACTTGGCCAAACTAGCAAGAGCAAAATAAACAGCGTTCCGTTTCACAGCCACCTCCTCGAGCCCCGCGAGGGTAGTGTGTCGGTATCCGTAGAGTATTATAGCCAGGACCCAGAGGCTAGAAAGGAAGAGAAAAAACTAGATTGATGCCCCTGTCTGCCGAAGCGAAGCCGCGAGCGAGCCAGAGAGAGACAGAGCTGGCCAACAGGCGGAGGGATACCGCGACCAACACCATCGAGCCTCGTGTCATGAAACCGAATCATCCCCGCCCCCACTGGCCGGCTCTTCCATCGCTACCACATTTCGCTCAGTCTCTCTGCCAAACCCATGATCTCCATCTCGATATCCGTATCTCTCCCCACAACGGGAGGGAGGGGATAACCAGGCAGAGAGAGGGGGAGTCAAGGAAAAGACCCGTCAGTCAACCAACATTTTGCCATCCGCATCGCGTTTGTGCGGAACTGCCGGGGAGTTTTTTCTCTCTCGATGAGCCAGCTTCACAGCCACCCTATACGTCACGGCAAGGCTCGCATAAAGAACGCGATGCTGAGTTCGGGTTGTCCATTATGCATGTTTGGCGGGGTATGACATCGAAACAATTAGGGATCGGAGGCCTAGGAGATTTTTTTCTTCACCCCTTTGCAAGAGTTCGGATGAAATGGACAAGAGCTTGACATCAGCTGAATGGGATGAATGGGATACCCCCGACTGCCACGACTGCCACTGGCAGAGAGGATGGTGTTAAGCGCGGCTATTGAGCAGGATCTTGACTCGCGAGAGATCAGGACGATATACTTCGCGGGAGTCACGCTGACCTTGCCTCCCGTTTACATCGCAGGGTGGTGTTGAAATATCGGATGACTTGGTGACGAAGAACTGATCCAGCGCCTGACGGGAGGAACCCAATCGGTGTTATAACACTCGACTCTTTCAAAACTTGGGATTCTCATGGGTAACATTCTAACGCATGCTGCCGTTAACTGATGACCAAACAGTGGCTGAAAAGTGAGCCGCGCTGGCACGAACATTTTCGACAGCTGTCCACAGGAGGTTCTCGGGGATTTGGTAACCGTGCTGCAGGGTTCGGGCCATCGAGTTCCTCTTTGGGATTTCAGCGACGACCCCGGCCATCACCGTCAGGGTTGCACCGTGGAAGACACCCGTTGAAGCATAGCAAACCGGAAGGGGTGGTCCCTGTTACGGACCTGGCCTGTCTTCCGGTAGGGTAGGTGCCAGGGCAACAAGGGAGGCGAACAGCAGGCCACACATCGCGGAGTCGCGGTTGTTGCTGAATTTTCGGGCTGGACTATCCTCCGCGAAAGGGGCGCCGGTCCTTGTTGAACAAAGGCAAGCCCGGCAACGGAGGTGCATCGGAGGACCAACATTGCTCGAAAGCGAAGGCGACCGGCCCTTGCACTCAATTGTCTTGTTTGGAAGATCCTCAAAATGCCGAGGAAACAAAATGCAACCTTGACAAGAGAGGTCGCTGAGAATAGAAGCTCAGGCGGGCCTTGGGAAATGAGAAGAGGGAAGAAACCCAGTGAACCATATGGCTAGAGACAAGACTCCAGGTCACGCCAACGGAACCAGGCGATCTCATGATCGGGACCGAGCCGTGATTGCGTTCTCTCTTGCAAACCCCCGTTTTGGATGGTCTGATTTCCTCTTTCGTCCAGCCAGGTATTGAACCAATCTGCGGGATCAATGATCGACGGTGAAGACGGGGCAGATAGTGTGCGTTCTGGGGAAGGCCACGAAAGCTCCGGTTCACGGATACACTTGTCGATAATTGATTGAACTTTCAATATTTCATCTCGATAGCGACCACAGCGCTGGCCACGAGATGAACGGCAAGGTGTTCATCCTCTTCTCGGATACCGGCCTGGTGAGGAAGATGAAAACCCAATACTTGAGATTTGTTATTGAGTTTTTGAGGTCTCGGACGATTCATGCGATTCAGGACGGCAGTGCTGGCCGATCTCCAAGCAAAACCAGCGCTGGCTCCAACGATAGACAGCTGGTCGCAATATCCAGGGACGCCTGTCGGGAGTGACTTTCCACGGAAAGGATGGGTCTTGATGCCCATGGCGCCGCTGTCTGTGAGGGTGGTCGGAGTTTAGGGGACCACTGTGGTCAGTTATGTCATCCAATCTCCCCTGGTCAGGTCAGACCGTCAGGCCCAGGCTCACGGTCCTCGGGCGGTATCGGCTCAAGACATGCCGCTCGAGCCTCACTATCTGTCTTGGGGCTCCTCATCAGAAATAAACAGTCATCTGGATTTTGGATACGGTTATGGCTGTCGATGAAGTTGACAGCTCTGAAGCAAGAAAGAGTGTTGTTTCAGCCATACGCGAGTGGAAATTGGAGGATATCTTGAGGACCTAGAACGGAGGAAGGACGGTTGTATTGTCGGCGACTTTTGGCATGGCTCGTGTTCTCAGATTCAGGTGAGCGTGCCTGATTAGGCAAAGCCCCCCGGCTGACTCGGCTCTTTCTGGCCTGGTGGGCATTCGATAGGGCAAAAGGCCGACGTCATGCTGGCAGAATCAGTTACTGTTCTGTAAAGTCGGTTCCGAATAGATGATGGATTGGGCGCCAGAGCAACCTAGAGTTGTATGTGTCGATGTTTTTGTCGATGATGGGTAGATATGACCCGAAGCATCGCTGCCGGGCAAAGGATCTGGATGGACTGTACTGTAGGCCAAACAATTGGGCTTGTAATTGCACCTGGTCATAGCCGCCTGCCTCTCAACAGTTGGCGACGTTGTCTTTAGCCATTGACGAGTTGTCTCAGGTAGAGGCTGCTTGCGAAAGACTTGACAGGTTTTGGTGAAAAGCGGTGTCTCGGTAAGGCAGCGTGGGCGTCTGGCATCCCGCAGCAATCACATAGTGCCGCGCGGTCCAGCCAGCGCTTCTCGATGGATTACAGACCGCATGGCCTCTTGGTTAGGCCCGATACGGGTCCAGCCATCGTGCAGCGGTTCGGCCACCCACCGAAGAGGAAAAAGGATGCTTAAATCTAAAACGAAATCTAAACCGAGAAAAGGTTGCAGTTTGACGATCCACACACTTGAGGGGACCGCCGAGCAGCCCAGAAGCTGTGGCTGTAAATCGAGAGCGAAACCACCGCTGGCGTTACGTTGTCGCTGAGGTTGCAATAAGCCGTTGTGTTGCCCTGATCATTGGGTCCAACTTCCACAAAGAGGTAGACTGATAGCCCACATTCGGATTTGTTGGCTTCGGGTGGCTGACTTGGTGAAACAAACCGTTTCCTCGGAACGAGTTCTTGAGATGGCAATCAGGCCAAGACACTATGGATGCCTCTTTGGCCTGTTATTCTGGACCGGTCGAAGGCCAAGCATTGTGACGTCTATTGACGTGTGCTTTTGCAGTTGACCCGAGGATAGACAGCCGCACAACGAGGAGGACCAATCCACAGGTCTACGATGCTGGCGGCGATTACCAGTACAGATATCCGTACACTGCGCTAGAATGAAGCTGGCGAGCAGGCCTTTTTCGGAAGCAAATAGAGGTTTAGACAGATGAGTAAACATTTCCGATAACTAGTAGCGGGCCGCTCGTTTTGGTTGATCTGGGCCGGTTGACCGAGCCGCGATATCTTGACAATACTCCGTACGTTGGAGTTGAATATACCCAACACGATATAATATCGCTTGACAGGCGTGGCGACCAGACTGTGTCCTGGATCGAACGATTTGAAGCGAGCCTATTTTTCTCGGAAGAGGGTAGGCGGCGTGGCAGCGCAGGGAGCAAAAGCGAGGGAGGGAGGTGAATTGAACGGAAGCGAACGACGCTCAAAGCTATCGTGGAGCTTCTGGCCAGAAGGTCTGAGCATCGTCGACTTGGATGAGAATCAGTGCCGATGGATTTGGGCAACATGGCCGACAGGTCGCGTCATGATCGGGTAAAGCGTGCTTGAGGATTTGGGACCACCGGGATCCCAGGTGTTCTGGCGGTTCTCTGAAGGGCATAGCCTCTCGAGATTCCGGCGTGCCCTTGCTGACAGACTTTTTCTTCGGGAGCAAGGGGTCCAGGGTAGCAGGATGGAGAAGGATTGCGATCGAGGTGGACTTTGGATGCAAGTGTATGACCATCTGGAAGTGGATTGATGCTTTTTCCTTGCAGAGTTGGGAGTGATGGAGTCGAGCCTCGAGGTGAGTGGATGTTGAAGTGTAAACCAGGGGGGGAAAGAAGAGGCGGAAGGACCACATCGTGAACAAGGCTCCAGGGGCACGAAGTGAAAAGTTGTGGAGTGGATGACCCCGGGCGAGCAGGGGGAAGAGGAAGGAGCAGGGGAGAGGAAGAATCCCCTCCTTTTGGCAAGGCATGGCAAGAAGCAGGGGGGAAGAGTGGCAGGGATCCAAGGTAACGTCCTGGATTGCCCTTTCCCAAGAGGTTTCCTTTCCGCTGGCGATTGATTGGCTCTAAGGTACCGTTCCTGCATTAGCGCAACGGAGAAGCTGGCGCTGTGGCTGAGCGTTTCAACTTGGACTGGGCAAGGAGCCCCTCGCTTGGTGGGAGAAGTCGCCAGTAAAGAGGATGCAGAAGACTCGAGAGGCTAGGAACAGTTCAGAGGAACAGGCAGGCGGCAAGGAGTCGGGATGCAAGCAATGAGTGTCACTGTCAACTGACAAGAAGAAAGCAGCCCAAAGCAACCCTGTGGCTCTCAAAGGAGCCGTTGTTCGGAGCATGACAGGACAGAAAGGGTCATGGGCGGCAGGGACCTACCTAGGAAGTTGAGTTGATTCGTCGAGTAAGTAAGCAGAGTCTTTACTTCTTGAGGCTTGAGTTCAGTTAAAATAGGTGCGAACAGATTGTCTGTTGTCTCTTTGGGTCCTTGGGGAGCGCGACTTCAGATGACCTGGCAGCTGTCATTGGCTGGCCCCTTTCCACCGCCATGAGCTTCTTTCGTCCAATGCTTCCGTCCTTCAGGTGGGAGTACCGACGGGAGGTACACCAATAGGCCCAGGTGCCTATACACGGGTACGCAGAGTGGTCCGCGTATTATCGACTTCCATCTATCTGGAGGGCTAGGGTAGGATGGACCAAGAATTGATTTTGCAGATTGAAAATTGGATAACGAATGTTAGCAGTCTCCCTGGTCTCCAACTGTCTGCATCTGTCTGCACTGCAACCCAAACTTTGCTAAGGTGATTCTTGAGACGCTCCATAGAGTGAGGCTGAGATGGATACGGATGCGGATACAGGCTGGAACACGGTTAACAGCATCAACCTTTCAAATTAACTTTTGGTGACCTTTTGCTAGGCCGAAAATACACACGGGTAATGATTACGTGCAGCATTCGGTGCCTCCATACGTGCCTTGCCGCCGTGTTGATCCTCACAGCAGCCCCAAAGCGCTGGATGGGCTGACGTTAGGCGCGGAGGCCAGCGTATCGAGGCATCCTGGGGCATCCCATCCACGCCGATTATTGGAGGGCGAAAGGCGGCGGCGAGTCCGTTTGAGACGTCCAGATTCGCCGTAGTTCAACCCCAGAGACTCCAGTCCGTAATAATCCACGATTGGCTAGACGTAAAGTACCCTGGTACCGTGTAGTGGGGGCTTTGGATGGAAGGCGGGGCGGGTACCTGACCGCTCATGCTTCTCTCTTTCTGCCCCTGACTAACCAAAAGCCACCCACCGATGGGAAAGAATTGGTGCACCCTTGGGGTTACAGTGTTCTGTGAGCAGAGTCGCAACTGACAAGCAAGAGTGTGTGAAGTTGCAGAGCGATTACCAAATAGACTGGCTGACAATGAGCCAGTCCCAATACGGGATAAAGTACAGTTACAGCGAGTCGCAGATGGCAAGCCACGGGGTCACTTAGATCGAGGTAGGCGCCCGTTGTCCCCTCAAAAGATCCAAAAAGGCGTCTCTTTCTGTTCTGCTTGGGGAGATTCAGATTCCCTGTGGCGTCAAGCCTAGATTTCAGACCAAGCCCGGCGAGAGAAAAGCAAGCCTCTGGGGAAGGGTAGCGCAAACGGCCAGTCTAGAACTGCACTCCAGACTCTCGTCTCTACTGTGCATCCGCACCTTACCTTACCTTACCACCGAATGAAGACTCAAAAGGTGCATCCGTCTTTCTTGCAGTCGAAAGTCTGCAGACTGCAGGGGGCTTGGGGAGAGAGAGAGGCAGCTCGCAGCTTGGGCCTTCTCACGTCGTCGGCGACGGGGTCTCTTTGGGTAAGCAGCCCCTGTCCCTGCTCTTTCCTGTTCCTGAACGGGACAGCATTAGGTTGGATGGCAAGGGGGGAGGTCACCAAGGGTACGTACCTCTGACTACTCACTTTACCGCCCAAGCGTCACGGCGGCGGCAAAACAAAGCGTAGAACTGGCAGATGGCAACTTTGCAGTTTGCATCCTTCACCACCGTCCACGGCCCTCGATCCTCGATCCATGGCCCACGGTTCCTGTTCGGATACAGAATGCACAGAAGCAGCCACTCAGTCAGACGTAGACTACCGTCAATGTCTAAGACAGACAGACAACCTGCTACTCCTCGCTCGCTCCCTCCAGTCATCTGAAAATCGCAGACGGCGGCACCAAAGCGTACGCACCGACCTCATCTCATCTCCATCCGCAACTCACAGACTCGACTCAACATCTCACTCTCACTCTCACCAAGCCCATCCCACCGACGCTGTCTGGCTTGACTTGCATTCGCTTCCCGTCTTTTCCGTCCGCCCATGGCTTTGACGGATCGTCGACACCTTCATCTCGAGCATAACAGGCGGTGCTCTTTAGTCTCGGTCCTGCATCAACCACCATCTCCACATGGCGTCCGTGTTGCTATTCATGAACACTTCTCCATCTTGCCCTCGGCCGTAGCATATCGTCATTGTTCACAGAACACACATCCCCATCTTCCCCCTAATCTGACTAAACCCTATGGCACCGCCAAAGCAACTGCGGATCTCTCCAATTAAGCACCATCACACGGTTATGCATGAGCATGAAACTCAGCCTGGCCTACGAGCATGAGCATTGCCTTTGTTCCGGTAGGCTGAGCACACTCAATCTCAACATCCATCACTTCCAATTCGTCAACCATGTGCCGTGAGCTCCATGTAGTCTATGGATGGCCTCCGGGACTTGAGCGAGGAGACCACTGTCCAACCATTGGGATAGAGAGAGACACACAGAGAGAGGGAACCATCGGGCTCCAGTGAGTCCCGTCCTCATGTTCAAGGATCAAAGGGGATGTCCAGGGGCTGCTGTGCCCAAATGCACCCTTCTCCGTATGTTCCTGGCTCCGATCCAAGCAACAAGTCGCTCGAATAGGAACCGTTCAACCGCTCAGGTGCCGGATGGGAAGAAGGCAGTGCTGTTTCTGGCCCCATCCTGCAATCCCCCATCTCCCAGCCCAGTCTCCAGTCGTAGCACCATCCAGAAGTCTTCTTGGAGAACCAACCCCTGTTGGAGGATAGTATGGCCTTTGAAGAGGCCGGCATCAAACCCGGCTTCGCTTTGCCTTACCTGCCATGCCCTCCGGTGACCTCTCCTCCTTTAGCCACCATCCACACATCCCATATCCACATCTGCGTCCACCACTGCACCATGGCCATCCATCAACCAGTCCGCAGGCCCCCATGCCTAGTGCGAGTGCTGTCCACATCCATGGCCATGCCACGGGTCCGCTGTACCTAGTCCGTGCAGCACGGCCTTGCACTTGCACCTCCTGCCTGGATCCACCCCGTCTCCGTCCCTCATCCCCGTTCGGTCCTCTCTCTCAGTCTGTTCAGTCTGTCAGTCTCCCACCCCCCCTCCAGGCAAGTCGCCTCCTCAGGTGAGAGTGAGGGTGAGGACTAGGAACCTCACACCCAACCATCCCCAGTGATAGGAGTCGTCGTTCTTGTATATAGACTCTTCCTCTTCCCGCCCATGTTTACTGTTTCGATTCTCATCCTCATCGAACATTCTTTCCTACTTTCGTTCTATCAAACAACCGTCCATTCGCTTTCTGAGTGTAAAGTCATTCGCTTCTTTGCTCTCAACTTAATACCAACTTAGTTTTTTGTTTCCACTACTTTCACTAGAACAAAGTATCTCTCACTCTCACTCAAAGAAAGAATCCTCGTCCATCATTCAAAATGAAGAACAGCGTTGCTCTTCTGGCCCTTGCCGCCGGCGTCAGCCAGGTCACTGCTACCGTAAGTTCTCAAACCACAACTCCACAGCGGGATCTCACATGAGACCTCGCCTGCTTCTCTCTTAGTCGGTGATCACTAACAAGCTTCATAGGGCTGGAACAAGTTCCCTTCCTTCACCTGCCCCGAGAACACCGACAACAAGTGTGACGACAAGCAGAAGGATGGTTTCTCCTGGGGTGACTTGAACACTGGATCGTTCAGCAACTACGGCGGTTTCGACTTCAAGGGCTGGACCTGCGGAAGCGATTTCTCCAAGCGCGATCTTCTCGCTCCCCGCACCTTCGGCAAGGGCAAGGTCATTGAGGGCTCTTGCGGAAGCAAGAAGGAGACCTCTCCCTCCTTCGGCTGTGGCTCCGGCTCCGGCTCTCCCGACAAGTTCTCCATTGTCCACTTCGACGTCTCCGTCGAGTTCGACTGCGACCTCGAGTTCCACTACGACATGCCCGATGGCTCCAGCTGCAAGCACCGCTCTGCTTGCTCCAAGTCTGGAACCACTGTCAAGAACTCCCAGTGCGGTGGTGCCAAGAACGTCACCATTGTCTACCCTGAGCAGCCCTCCAAGCCCAAGACCACCTGCGGTGTTGGCATCCACACCATCAGCTTCGACTGCAGCCCTCCCCAGACCACTGTCCCTCCCAAGACCAAGACCAGCTCTTTCGCCATCGCCACCACCCTGAGCACCAAGACTCATGACAAGCCCGTCAAGACCACCTCCGAGGCTGAGGCCACCTCCACCGCTGTTGTGCCCTCCGTCTCCAAGCCCACCAAGCCCGTTGAGGAGACCACTGAGGCCACCAAGCCTGCTACCACCGGCCCCTCCAAGGAGACCGAGACTGCTCCCGTTCCCAGCAAGGGCGAGACCACCTCCGCTGCCCTCCCCTCCGTCTCCATCCCCGCGGATTCGACCACTGCTGTTGTTCCTTCCGTCACCAAGCCTGCTGAGACCCCCATCGTCTCCAAGCCCACTGAGGAGACCACCAAGCCGGTTGAGTCTGTCCCCGTTGAGTCTGTCACCAAGCCCGTCGGCGGTGAGACCACCTCTGCTGCCCTCCCCAGCGCCTCCGTTCCCACCGTCCCCATCAACGGCACCCAGCCCGCTGAGACCGTCCCCGCGACCGTCCCCGCTATCCCTGAGACCAAGACCACTGTCTACGACACCACCTCCACCGTCTACACCACCCGCGTCGAGACCGTCACCTCCTGCGCTCCCGAGGTCACCAACTGCCCCGCCAAGTCCCATGCCGTTGTCACCGTCACCGTCCCCGTCTCTACCACCATCTGCCCCGTCACCGAGACCTTCGTCCACACCCCCGGTGTTCCCTCCAAGCCCGCTGCTACCCAGCCCGCTGGCGTTCCTTCCCAGGGTGTCTCCTCCGAGAAGCCCGTCGCCTCGGTCACCGTTCCCGCTGGCCCCGTTGAGACTCTTCCCTGCCCCGATGTCGTTCCCCAGTGCTTGAGCACCTGGATGTTCTCTTCCGGCTGCACTGACAACTCTGATGTCAACTGCTTCTGCCCCGACTCCAAGTTCGTCGAGAACGTCTTCTCTTGCATCTACGCCTACGGTGCCAGCGACGAGATCATCTCCAAGGCTACCCAGTTCTTCCAGGGCATCTGCGCTGCTCACATTCCTGAGAACCCTGCCATCGTCACTGTCCCTGCCACCATCACCACCGCCATCACCGTCTCGGCCACCAAGCCCGCTGCCACCAACCCTGCTGAGTACACCACCGTCACCGTTGACAAGACCATCGTTGTCCCCTGCGTCACCTCCGGCACCACTGTTCCCGGCTCGTCCACCACCGCCGTCATCAAGACCACCCTCGAGGTTCCCCACGTCTCCTTCGCCACCAACTCCGCCTCGGTCGTCGTTCCCGTCCCGGCTCCCTCTGCCCCGGCCGGAACCCCCGTTGCCCCCGGCGCGACTGCCTCTTCCCAGGCCCCAGTTGCTCCCTACCCTACCACCCCCGCCGCTGGCGCCAGCAAGTCCACTCCCGTCGGCACTGGCGGTGCTGCCGTCCCCACCACCACTGGCGTCGTTGTCGCCGGTGCTGGCAAGACCACTTTCGGCCTCGGTGCCGTCGTTGCCATTGCTGCCCTCGCTGCCTTCTAAGCTGGGTAACATGGCTGCTTTCTCCCACCCCCTCTACTAAGATGAAACTTACCTGAGCGCGGAGGAGAAATGCTACCAACCCCAAAAAATTTCCTTACTGTATCCAAGTCGCTGCACGCACACACACAAATCTGTAATCTACAAGCCCGCAATTTTACATATCATTCTTACGATCCTTACGAAACAAACACATTGCATAGGTGGTTTTTATATAGGTCTGGAAACATTCGGTGTTAAAAAGGCTCTATATTCCCACATTTATCTCAACTTGGCCGCGAACTTTAGAGCGCATCGGAAAAAAGGGTGTTGGAAGATTTTTTATACCCCTTGGCTTGTTGGACTAATACTTAATCAGCTAGTTCCTTTCGAGAGGAATACAAATGCGCTCTACAATGACTTTTTGGTTCCTGGTTGCCTTGTGATGTGTTCCAACCATCTGAATACCTTGAGTAATAAAGTGACAAGTTTGTGACAATTCTGTTAGATCCCAGCTTGATTGTACTCTATTGACTGTTGTGAGTAAGCACGCGCCCATGGCTTCTACTGTAGAAGTCGCAATGAGTCATGTGACGTTGTAGTTGAGACGACCCCGGAAATGAGCCGTTGTAATGCGATCGCGTCCCCCCTTATCCCATAATTGGTATGGCATAAGGTAAATAGGGGAGCAGAGAAATCATCCTCGTCTTCGCATGGCTCTCCGTGTTCAATCGATGCTCACTTGCCAACTTAGTAACGTCCCTCTGAAGTATGTATACCCATGATCAGGCTGTCCCGTTGGTCGAATGTCCACGGGCTCACAAGGGAGCATGGGCCCCCTCCTCCCCCTTTTCTCGAGGACAGAAACCACGGTCATCCATCTACGAGATTTTATGTTCTTAGTTGAATACATCCTCGTCTCGTCCGTACTGCTGGATGACAGTTCGTTCTCTAGGTGCTACCATTGCTTGGGGTAGCTTGAAGTTGGGTCTGAGTCGGGGATGGGATAGACAATGGCGCAAAACGACCGCTGCAAGTTTGCATGTTCCCATTGTACTGCTGTGGAGTTAGCGATCTGTAGGAGCGATCTTGGAATGTTTAATCTCTTGACCTTTGTATATGGGACGAAGCACGTTGAAAGGGCTGGCTTGGACTGTGTTGTCCAGCTTCGCGACCTCCTCGTCTGCAGCTTAAGTTGCCTCTGCAGGCTTGTTGACGATGAATTCGCCAGTCTCTCACTCGTTATCTACGACGAGATGGTTCCCATATTAATGGAATAAGCCGAGAGTGACATAGACAATCACCAGAGTCAGACACTTAGCCACATCGAATGACAAGGGCCTGTCACCAGGAATAGCCACCTGGGGCAGCTGTCTAGAATTCGCACCGTTATAGCGAGGTGGGAATTGGGAGTGACATCAAGAGATAGCGTTGAATATGTATTTTTAACTCTGGTCGGCAACCGACTGAGGCAGGTAATCTTCTCATGGCCGGACATCCACCCATTTTGGAGACATGTGCTTCAGAGAGAGCACCAGTTGAGGAGTCGGTAACGCTTTCCTAATAATTCTCATGAGGGCAGTGTTTTCATGCTCAATCATTCGCTTGAAGGCGAGAGATTTTTATTCACTCAAGCCGATTATCTGATCCAAAGTTATTGACTTACTAGCCAGAAAGGTCTTCTATTCAATAGGTGAGGATCGCCGAAGTCCTTGCTGTCGCCAATTACTCCAGAACCCTCAGCGCTCACCCCTTTTGATTGCCCTCATCAAAATGCCGCTGATTTTGACGAATGAGAAATAGAGCTCAGATTGCTTGAGCCACGACACGAGGTGTGATGAATGAAATAGTAGAGAAGCTGCTGTGAAGGAAGAGGGCGTCGTTTTGGCTTATTCCGAGCCTTGAAGAAAAGAATTTGTCCGGTATCACAGTAAGTATTAAGCTCTATCTTGCCTCAAAGTTAGGGCAATTCGCGCTACGATGTTCATTCGCCGTTCGTTCGTCGGCACCGGCCCGAGAAGTACGGCAATAGCCCCACTTTTGCGGTGCCTCGGTCACGGCGTGGGAAACGACTGCGGCAACCAACGGCTTGCACATGCCTCGGAGTCAAAACCCCTCAGCCCGTCCAACAAGACCGACCGCCCAGACTAAATGTTCTCGGCTTTTTCCCTTCGTGCCGGATGCTCCCACCAGGCAAAGACTGTCAATTTGGACCTATGCTTGATAGAGCCTCGAGCGCCATATCGCGAGACCATTCGTGTTGTTTCGTCGTAGCGCTTGATCTTCTTGATCATATCCACGTGACATCAATAAAGAAGGCTGCCGAAGCCCCGAATTGGATTCAAGCTGAATTGACTCGATACCGAAAACGAGGAGACCCGGTCGTAGATACCGGCGGACGGGGTGGGACCCTCACCGAAACCCGGCGCCGGAGCTCTCGGACAGCATAAGTCGATCAGTAATCCATCTTTGAGACTTGGAGTCTGCTTCAATACTTGATCGTGTGCTATCGTTGTACTTGGTTTTGTAAGTTCAGTTGACAAGCAAGTCATCTGATGATGCCGTGACGCTCGATTAGGCTTTTGCAAGCCAGCTCATGCCGGCGGGATCGGTGTCTCAGGGAAGGGGGGTTGTGTATCCACTGTGGCTCCATGTCGAGTCATCAGAGCTCGGTGACCGGGAAAAGGCGAGACTTTGTTGCACGCTTCAGTATGAATGTGGTTTTGATGAAGTTTCTGTCCGAAGACGTGATGCATCTTTTCGACCCGTATCGGCAGTATTTCCAGCATCCCTCATCATACGCTCGCCAAAGATATCCAGATAAAATTTGTTACGATGGCTACCCTAACGTATGCTTCGTCCTGCCTATCGAAAGACTGATGTTTTCAACTGAGACTCAACTGAAGAGCTGACGTTACGGGCATTAGAGGAATTAGAACGCTGGAGATCTCATGGCCGTGTTACGCATCACCTTTGTGCGACGAACGTGTTTAGGAATGAATCTCATAATCCATGGTCGCTACACACCGCTCTCTCTCTTCCTCTATGTTTCCAGCCCCCATCTCCTACTAATCCTACAGTTTAGTCGCTTGCTATGCAATCTCTAATGCTCATACCACTTCCGCTCTCCTATCGTACACTTATGCAGTCGCTGATATCATCCTAGATCTATTTCGTGGCGCAAGCAGTGTACTTCTGGGCCGCATCCAGCGAGCTATCAACGTGTTAGCATAAACTCAGGAGAAATTTGCTTCCGAGATCTGACTCACCAAGCAGTGATGCATGCGGCGTCCTTGTTGCACTTATCAATGCAGGCAACCTGATCCGCTGCTGTCTGCGTCTCACAGGCAGCAATGGCACCGGGGTCCTTTCTGGCCTCAAGGGTTGAGTCGATGGGAGACGTGGGTGCAGCGGCGACCATGGTGGCGACGAAGAGGGCGAAGACGGTGGAGAACTGCATGATGATGATTTGGAATGGTTGATGTTGTGGTTTTTGTAGTGTTGTTTAATGCTCAATCTGTAACGAACTCTGCTTGGGTCGTCGATTCTCGAGTTATAGTGGATTGTTAATTGTTTGAAGGCTGATGGTTGTTGATATTGAATTTGTTTGTGCGAGCTGCTATTGTGGAAATGTGGTTGTTTGATTGTTGTGTGATTATGTGATGTTGGGCAAAATAAGAACAGCTGAGGAGGTGGGAATTCCACTCAGCTATATACATTTTCGCAACCTTCTCCATGACCCAACATCCTTTACCTAGGTACGTTACCGCGATCGACTCCCGTCTAGGAGACGTCAGGCTCGCAACCCTGCCTCAACAGGACGCATATTCCATGCCTAGACCACCGCAGGGCTCAGCCGAATGCGTGAGTATGTGTGTGTGTGTGCCGGACGTCACTTCACGAGAGACAGGGATATCTGACAGCAATGACAACCGCAATGATGTAATGCCCCGACCTCCCTCGTCCCCTCTCTCTCACTCACTTCAAAGCTTCAAGATAGTAGTGGGGACCGACCGATTGCCTTCAGCTCTCCGTATTCGGGTCCAGCTACGGTCGTCCGGGGTCTTCCCCTGGAACTTCTTCCGATTTGCGTGCCTCCGACACCGCAGGGTCCGGATCAATGACCTGCGGTTCCCTCCTACGTAGTAGTAAGCGAATACCTTCTCGCGATCGGCTTCCGTATTAGGCAACTAGAGGGAAGTTTGTTGGGTGTAAATCCATACAGGCGCTGTCCGGCAGTCCGTGCATAGCCCGCCGATTACCTACGGCTATTCATGCAAAGGCAGGAAACATCAGACGACACAACCGCGGCTGGCACCTCGGCATATCGTTCTTACTGCCGGTCGGGTCTGTGACGTCGCGTTAGCTGGTTGAGTTATACTTGAGACGAAAACGAGAAAGAAACGGCCAACGATAGCAAGTTCCAGACACCAAATCGTTGGACTTTACCTCCTTTGGTCATGGTGGAGAACCACACAAACCACTGCCTCGGGACAGCCTTCTCGTGCGAACAGCTGAAAGTGGGAATTTCCCGAGTTGTGTGGCCTATCTATCCAGGGTAAGGTGACGTTGAGTAGAGAGAAAGACACCGTTCAGACGAGTTTGTTCCGTCGTTGCGGCTTCTAGACCGGACCCCGTTGCGAACGACTACGTCGTGAGGCTTGCGGTGGCGGAGCGGTGACGTTCCTGTGAACTCTGTAAGGAGGACTTTTTTGGTGCCGGGCTATGTTTTTGGTATTGGGCCGAGGATTACGGTATCTGGACCGGCGCCGATGGAGTCGTGGCTGTGATGGCTGTGGCAGCATAGATCCGCGGCTACAACATGGTGTTGTAGAGTCTCTTGTTACTCTACTCTACCCCATGAGATTCGGTAGAGCAGTGCTTCTTCTCATTGACCTTCTCATCATGACCCATCACGCCAGCAATCACCAAGAATCCATGCTGTCCAACTAATCAATCCCAAACTCGAACAACGCGGATCAGACCATACGCCGTCTTTACAGCCCTTTAATCTATACTAAGTCAGGTAATCAACTGTAAAGAAAGCCTCACTAGCGGTTTCCAGAAGTAACGACGAGCAGTGGAGCGTATACTAGGGTTAGCCTTCCGATCCAAAGAAAAAAATGCGCATAACGTTTAAAGTTACCGGGGACGGTTCCCGAGTCTTCCACGGCCCATATACGTTTCAATGCGCACCCCGGCCACGTCCCCTCCTCCGAGGTGCCGAGAATTTGTGGACCGCATCCGTTGAGTCCGGGGTACATGTGATTGTCCGCTTCGTCCGGAAGCCATGTGCCCAGAGGTAATACGGCGATGTGGAGGACGGGATGACGGTTATGACGTATATGTATGGTGTGTAGGACGAAGGATGGCTTGACGTAGCTGTTGTGACGACAACCTCAACTTCAGAGGAAACACGAACAGATCCGGGTATGTCGATCAAACTTGAAGACTTATTGCAGCAATCGTTAGCTAAATGGTGACATGGCGAAGGCAATGTTGAAGAGCTTGCAAGGAGGCTGTCAGGTCAAGAAGAAAGCCTACGATCCTAAGTCAAAAGATTCATGTGACTTCAACTGACATACTACTGAGCCAGGTGACCATAAATCCACAGACATGGATTGGAACACTGTCTCCGGTTGCATGGAGCCTCCAAGATCATCAATGTATTAGCCCGAAGAAACCCTCACTGCTTAAATGACACCTCTCACACGAAGAGGGACCAAGACGACGATCCTTTGCGTGAAATGTTTGTAATGTTTGCTGACAATCCAGGGCCGTTCTGTCTCGACAGGCCAGCCGAGCTATGACTGATAACATTAAACTGGTAAGTATGTAGTAAAAAATATAATGGTATGTGCCAATTAAGTGGTCACCAAGCTGGCGTGATATCTTTCAATCTCGCCTCCCCCACTAAGTTCGCAAATGCTCTGCCATCAAGCGTCGTAAATGCCAGAATATACCGCACCGCCTGCCCGCACAACGCCCAAAAACTGGAAGAACCAACCACGTCTACCTTCGCTCCTTTTTATGAATGTAATGTTGTTTCTTTCTTTCTTTGCCTTTTGACTAGTCGCGTCCCGATTCGCGTCCAGAGTCGGACGCGTAGTCGTCCACGAGGCTTTGCATCTCAACGTCGTGTATCCTGCGATTCTGGATGCGCTTCTCCATGGGCTCTGCTTGTTCGAGAGAACCACGACGGCCCCAGTTGCGAGGTTGACGCTTGAGGAAGGCACCGACTGAGCCCAGGTAGCCCTCGTGACGGAGGAAGTAAGCCTGCTTCTTGCCTTGAGACCAGAACTTGATGGCGTAGCTGAGGGTGTTGATTGTTTGCCTGTGTCCTCGAATGAACGACCCACCAAAGTAGATGTGGTCCAGGTTGTGAATTTGTGATTGGAGGAAGGCGATCTGGCCAATGTTGTTGGATATCGCATATAGCAGCGAGCGCGAGACATCCGCTCCAGAAAAGGGCTCTTCTGAGGAGTGCTCTGCTGCATCATGAGGGCCATCTTCAGCTGAGGCTTCCGGTGGGGGAGACGTGTTCTTGTTATCGCCATTGTGCAGTCCACCGTGGTCTTCCGCTTCATTCTCGGCTGTGCGCTTCATGCGGAAGACCTTGCCAAATGATGATGCAATTGTGGTGCTCTTGAGGCCAATCTTGCCGTAATCTCCCCCGTAGATGTCGCCGACAAGCATGTCGACTTTCGCATTGTCCCCCCGCTCTGACAAGTCGAGCATCTCGTCAAAAGTGCGAGCGCCTGTCAGAAGGGAGAGCAGACCCCAAAGCGTACCACCGCCGAGCGAGGTTCCGCCTACACGTTGATATTGGCGCGGTCCTGAGACCTTTAGCATCGAGACGCCGGAACCTATGTTGACGAGGAGGTAGGGGTAAATGTTTTCCGAAGGTGAGACAAAGTGCATTGGGTCGGTTTCGCTGTAAGTGAAGACTTCGCGGGGTATCTCGGTAATGAAGAAGTCGAGACCTTGGAAGTAAGTTAGCAACCGTGGAGCATGCGCCGAAGGATATGCGAGAGCCTACCAATTATCAAACATTCCATCTCCTCCTCGCGCAACACATCTACGCCCAGGACATCCCGCATCTTGTCGTAGAACTTGAAGGCGCCGCCTCCCGTCGCCATGACGCTCAATTCGTTCGGTTGAGAGCCATTGAGGGTCTGCTGCTTGTCCTTAAGGTGGCGCATGAACTCAATGCAGTCGTCGATGCGATCGGTCTCGAAATTGAGAAAGTTGAGACGACCGCCGGGCTCGGTAGAGTGTGCCTCGCGCGTAAAGTAGACGAGCTTAATCAAGGAGCCGCCAATCTGCGCAAATGAAGGGATTAGCAGCTAGACAAGAAGGAGGAGCAAGTACGGGCGGGAGGGGGCAGTCGCATACGTCAACGGCAATATGGCTCACGACGGCATGGTGGTTGGGCAGGCGGATATCGCTCGTCTCGTGGTGGGTCGGGGAACCTCGGCCATTGCTCCTCGGAGAACTCGAGTCCGGATCGACGATGAAGGCGCCCTTGACATTGATTCGGACGGAGCCCGGCCGGATTATTGTGTTGTCGATTTCCTCGGTGCTCGTCATTGTCCGGGCTCTGGTGCGGATATCGGCGCCGGCCAAGACTGCAGGCTCGGAGGGGTTGTGTCCGCTGTCGATGGTGGTGTTGAGGGTGTTGTCGTTGTCGTCGGGTCGGGAATCCTCTATGGCAGAGCCTCCATGATCAGGCGCGGGGCACATGCTCGGTCTTTATTTGGAAGTGTGTGTGGTCGTCCGGCGCGCGGAGGACCAGACGGAAGGAGAGAGGTCGGGTGGCTTGGGACGGCGCAAGTCATGAACTTTGGGAGGGCCCAAGAGCTATATTCGTAGCCGTTCGCGAGGAGCACGGAGGACGGGCTGGGGAGGTTGCGTCGGACGGTGGTGCGGTTATTCGGTGCTGGGCTGGTGTCGGCGCAGGGTTCGCCTTGCGCTGGGCGTCCGTTCGCTTCGGAGTTGAAGGAGGGGGGGGAAGAAGCTCGGCGGAGAACAGAGAGGACTGGAGTGTTTGTCGAGGGCTTTAGGATTGTGGAACGCACTCGACGAATTTCAGTTGAACGTGACTAGGACCCCGGGCCGATAAAGCTGTAAGGCAAGTGATACCTCACAATTTATTAGTACCTCGAGTTACCCCCCTCCTTTTCTCCCCCCCCTTCAGCGTCAAAATGCGCGCGCGACCCCCGCGTCGTATCTCCGGAAGGTTCGTTATCGATAAGCGGCAGGTCAGATGTACTATTTCCTATCTGGGCAAGTGCCTAGGCACTTTCTGGGGATTCGGCTAACGGAGCTAGGACCTAGGTACTTGGAACTTGGGAACTTAGGGACCTTACCAAGGTCCCTTCCCCTACTAAAATACCCGTCAATCTCTCAAGGTTGGGAAGTTGTACCAGTTCAGGTGGGTTGTTGAGGTCCCCAATGCCGCTGGACCGAGGCTTTCGGGGTACCTCAAGGTAATCAATCGCCAATGAAGCGTATCCCCTCATCGTCGTGTTTCCATACTTCCTTTTCTCCGCAAGAACTCGGAAATGGGCATGGACGTCGTCATTCGTGCGACGTTACCTCTGGCTTCTTCGGCAGCCATGCAGAATCCTAGGTTCTCACCACCAATCCGGCAGCCGACCCGATTGTGCCGCCGGCCGTCGGTGTGGCTGTCATTGTGTAGACCAATCGACTGCGGCCAACTGTAATCCTGAGATTGCAGTAGGTTCGATCAGTAACAAGCCTCAAGCTGCATCTCATCATTAGAATGCGCTACTCCCGACAGGTTCTCTTCAGCATCACATGCCAGTGGCCCAGTCTAGCTCAATTGCCATAGCTCAAAAGTCGAGAGAGGAGCTCACATAAGTCTGACTGTCAGCAACCATCTTGAATTCGGTCTTGGGCTTGAGCCATAAGATACCGCCACGTCAATTGACCAGCGGTGCGACTACTATCCAGGTGAACACCAGCTCAGGTAATCCACCGGGAAGGATTCGTCCTAGCGCCGACATTGTTGATAACCGCCCAGCGCGCACAGGACATGGCTCGTCAGTGTGTAATCTTCAAGGTACTTACCTTAGGTAGCTACTAACTTATTCCACTCGGTGTAAGCATGCAGGTAGATAGCGCTTGTGGAAGCTATGTTTTGGCTTTGTCTGTCTTCCTATTAGTGACCTCTGCACTCATAAAGCTTGGGGCAAGATTCCCCTCGGTTTTTAGTACCAACGGGCAACCCAGTCAGCGAGCTACCGGCCGGACGACAGGTGGGCCCACAAAAACACGGCGTCCTTTGACACTGGGCCCGGTGACCCCCGGTTCAAGGGAAGACGAACAGGAGCCAGATTAAACAAAGAACTCAGGACCACCCAGGGTGCCCCTTTATTTCAAACCTACTGACCTATGGAACATGCTTCTTTAGATACAATGCTGATTGAAGATGTTATCCTTGAACAGCGGCCGGGTCTCACAATCCGCTCAGTTCTACGCACTCTCCGCGGTGTCAATAAGTTGAAGCGTTCCGCCCCTCAGAAATCGAAACTATCTACCTTAGATGTCTTGGAACGCGGCTATATGCGTCTCTTTGAAAAAGAAACGGCCAGTTTTGTCGTGATCTTCGCAAGGACCGTCGCCAATCTCGAGCTCGTTCAAGGAATATCTTCATCGAGAGTGGCTCAAGAATTCCCGAGAATGAGTTTCCCATCTTCCTTTCGTCACAACGATGGCCGTCTTCCACCACCCATCATAATTCCTATGGGCCATCGCCCGCAGAATCCATTCACACCTCGTGAGAACCGCTTACCGCTTCAGCATCAGGGACCTCCGATGAACGCCCCCCGCTTCGACTCTCAGGCACATCGTATGAATCCCCCTAGCTTTCATCCTCAACCCGATCCCCGCTGCGCGGTCCCTCCTGGTCCCATAACACCTTACGTATCACATGGACATCCTGAAGTTTATCACCAAAGCCAGGGACCTAGGCCAGTCTTCCAACCTCCGGGGCCAAATCCCCGCAGAGAACCTGCCCAAGAACCTCCACCATTTGTTAGGCCACCCCCAGATCCAATTCAGAGTAACAGATACAAGGACGACATATATTTGGATGAAGGGGGAAACGGCTTCCAGAACGACGACCGAGGCTCTAGATATATCAAAGAGGAGTTCCGATACACCAACGACTGGCCCCAGAATAGATTGAGAAACCCGCCGGAGCGGTCTGATCAGAATTTCCAAAAACACCCAAGGCAATCGAGTGCCTTTGAGCACGATGACCCTCGAAATCGCTCCATGAGCAGCGAGAAGGGACCTCTTCAGAGTTACCAGGACACCAGCCGGAGTATGCGGGAAACAGCAGAAGAATGGCGGCAGCAGGCGAGTTTTTGCGCGTCTCAAATTAGGGAAGAAAGGCATTCCGAACAAAATGAGATGCTAAATTCTGAACAATGTGGCGGAGGCCAGAAAACAGCAACAGATTTCAGAAGAGAAAGGCGTTTTCAACGACAGATGGAGAGAATTTCCCAAGAACAGTGCAGAGGCGCCCGAGGGCCAAGCCTTTCGAAATGGGCTTCCTCCGTTACCAGGCCGATGGCTCCCAGGCGGCGCGGTTCCGAGTCGAGCTGCTCGACTTCACCCGATGAAGCCATTGACAATTATCAGCGGGAGCCTGTTGCCTAGAAGAAATGCAGTGTTTGCCGGAGCTTGCGCCATGACAAAGGGAAGCCTTGAGTCATGTTCAGGAGAAATTTGAAGGCTGTCCAAATACACTATACCTCCTAGCTGCAGTCTACGAGTTCGCGGCGAGGTGGATTCGTTGCTTCATATAGCATTTATCTAGCAATTGACAACATATCGACGCGCAACGCAAACTCTTTCGATGCTGAAGATACTCTTGGGGTGCCATGGTCACTGGCTGCTGAGCCTCTATCGACAAGTATGGAGACATTTATTCCTGGCGAAGGCTCGTCAGGGTGTAAATAGGGACAATAGAATAGCTCCTGATACCCAACTTCTAACCGAGGGGTTGAACTAATGACAATGACAGGGCCCTCGAATCCACGACTACCTCTCGGATGTCGAGCATCACTCCACTTTTTGCATGGCCAGCTAAAAAACATTTTTGAAATTATCTTTCCACGTCGGCATTCATCTTGAATTAGTTCAAGAGCCCTCGTCTGTATTGTATCTTAATGGGTTTTAGCTAAGCTAGTAAAGTGCTACTGTCTACAAGCGATTACTCAGTATACGCCTCACTATACCTAGGAGCCGCATCGCTGTAACTTGATCTCAAGTTTTGATATAATATCGACTGAGCGTGATGCATCAAAGGCTTCTGCTCCTCGCAAGAAGGGTCAGTCCTCGCAGACTGAGAGCTACGGTTAGCGCCATGGTTGAACGCCTATTCACAGACTCCTCACTACTTGCTTACCTTTGAGTCACTCCTGTATCATTAGACATGGAACATGGTGCTGAATCTGGATTCATTTGAGAGTATGATAAGGGTATCCTGCTTCTTGCCGCAGCGGTATGCCAGTAAGTTGGGCATCCAGTGCTTTATATCCTTGACAGCATCCTTTTAATTTGGGCCCGGCGACCCTCAATTTCAAGGGGCGGTAACGAATCTCGATATAGAACACCTCGTGAAATGAAACACTTCTCGAAGTGAGGTGCTCAAGGAATCCGTTATCTGTTGAGTAATCTTTTAAGAGGTCTGGCGAGATCCTTCCCTAGTAGCCAGCGGCGTAGCACAGTTCGGCTAAGCTTTCGTCCTCTTCATCATGTTCAAAGTATGAAAGACTGAACACCTGCTTTGTATCCGAATCATAGGCATGAATCAATTGGCATATAAGCCCGAGGGGTCAGCATATCCGATATGGCATGGACGATCTCATCGAGAACAGCACAAGAACCGTCGACATTCAGCACATGCAAGTAAAGCGATCATCGAAGGCAGCCCAAGAAGTACTGCACAATGTGGACCCTAAATTCCTCCGGCCATGTTGGATCCCCTGATCCCAATGCACTACAAACTTGTCATTGCATCCATTCAAGCACCTGCGAGCTAGCACGTCGTCATTGCGACGGGCCACCGCATTGTGCTCACCCAGACCATAACCCAGTGAGAAAAAAAGACAAGAGGCGAGTTGAAAAATATATTTCAAATCCGATGATATCGTAGTCGATGAGAATTCCAAGGGACATTTTACCAGACTCCACAACTGGAGCCCGGGAAGCCGAATTACAGTACCGAAGGGAGGTTCGAGGACCAAGAGGCAGTGTAGACTTTTTCACAGAGGCATATGGAGGAGCACAAACTTGGGTCCCTACGTCAGCCGTTCCTCACGCGCACCCTCGCGGATACGTCATGGGCCCAGGCAACGAGCAGGCTTTGTGGGTAGAAGAACCCCCACGAACAGGTGGAAAGCCGAAAACTGGGAGCGCTGGGTCAGACTATCCCGGAAACTATTCAACAAGCCAATATAACCCTCCAATGCCAAGACCAAGACATCTGTCTGTCCGCTCTTATTCACCTCAGCTTTCAGGGGAGTTCATAACGGATTCAACGGGCCAGAGTGGTCAAGCTTTACAGGATCAAGCATCCTGGGCGCCTGGGACTCATGATCCATATTCACAATCGCGCGAATCGGGTCGGTAGCCTCCACCAGTATATAATGAAGGCGATGAAGGAACAAGAGCCCGAAGACACCAGCCGGCATTTAGCAATGGGGAAGGCTTGAAAATACGCGAGATGAGGCCAGGAAGTATGGACAATGGACATGTAATTAGAGGAGAAGTAAGCATGGTATCGACTCGCCCACCCCGGTAGTATGTATCTTGGGTCTGGTCCATATTAGCACTTCATTCAAGATAGTCAGTAGCAAGACGTTCCAGTTCTCAGTTAATGCGAACGTTCTTGTCGAAAATTTTGGCATTAAAACCGTTGCTTTTAGATTCCTAGATGTTTGCAAAGCAGCCTGTGTTCCCCTTGTTTAACGCATTCCTCTACAGACTTGCAAGACTGAGCAAAGCCGCAAGACCAACATAGAGTGAGGGGTTTATTTGCGGGCAATGGAGCTTCCCTGAGCTGCTTTCTCATATCGTCAAGTTGTCATGGCCATCGCCTCCTGTGCTTTTCCGCAACATGATTGGGGTTGAGATTGGCGAAGTCTGCGAATTTTTGATTGGGCATTCTACGCAGCTCATATGTCACCACTTCAGTAAGCTGCATCGTACGCCGAGTTGTCGACTTCGCAAAGTGCAGAAGCAAACGTCCCTGGAGAAGCAAGCAGGGGCAAAAATCGCCCTGCTCTGACCCTTTTCCCAAAGAGAAACTCCGATGCCTGGATCATATCACTGATTTTCTGTCTCTCTATCATAAGGCTCCCTCGTCTACTGAGTCCTTTCTCATTTGAGCAAATCATTCCATAGTCCATCGCCAAACAGAGCCAATGTGACAGCCAAGGCAAACCAAGTTTCTCACCTCTCCTAAAGTACAAAGTTCTCCTTTCCCCCAAGGAAGAAACCATCCCGTTTGGTATCTCCCACTAAAACCCCGTTCCGTCATAATGCTCATGAAGGGTATTTCCAAAAGTCTCCCCGTTGAAGAAAAAAGATGCCTCCGCAGAATACTTCAAAACGCCGGAGCCCCCTCTCTCTCTTGCCGCGGAAGTCAAGAGAAAAAAAGATAGAGAGCCTAGTAGCTCTTTCCGAACACCTCATAATTCAAGAACGAAATGCCCTTTACCCTTTCATGAAGCTGGTAATGTGAAGAAGAAGAAGATAATACGCCCCCGAAGTCCATGGTAACATGCACCCCTTTCGTGGCGGCCTAACAGCCTTGGGTGTGCTCCGTCCGTTCCGTCGTCTAAATAGCAAGTTGCGAAGCCTTTGCTGGGCTGAAGGTTTTGTCGTCTGTTGTCTGTTTTCTGTTGTCGGTCATAACAAAGCATCAAGTCGTGATACGCCCCTCCTCTTTTCTCTCCTCCCCCCCCCTGCTCATGTCGTGTATGTTGTTTGAGCCAATACCGTTGTCAAATAGAGGTACAATGGTGATTTCTCCCAGAAGCTCATGAAACAAAATCTCATCTCAACGCCACAGGAAATCTGACGGCTTCACCGGCCTCCCCGTAGCATGTGAAATGATCCTCACATTCTCGCACGCGTCCTCAAAGTCGTCGTCCATGTTGTACTCGCGGTAATACCACCCGCCCGTCCGCGGGTCCCAGAAATCTCGTCGGTGCAGCTCGGGCGTGTGAAGGCCTAGATATGACATCCACTGCGTGTGCTCGCGCAGGATGGCCGGGCTGCTGACGTCCTCCGGGCCGAGGACGGTGTTGATGGGCTGCGAGATGGACTTTTGCCCGCGGGCGTCCCGGTCGTTGAACATGAGCATCAGGCGGGAGGCGATTTCCTTGTCGATTGCGCTAAGGGGTTGGCCGTGCTCGATGCGGCCTGCTAGCGATGTCAGGTAGGATTTGTGTCCATTCTTCCTTGGTGAATGGAGATGGGCCTAATAGATTGTTAGACCTTCCTTGGGTCGAAAGATAATGCACGTTGGCGAGTGTCATCAGTTGTCATCATACCTTCATCTCTCGCCGGGTGTCCGTAAGAAACGGGCAGTTGTCCATGATGCACCGGTAAATCTCCTTGAGGTAGCCCGGCTCGGCCACCGGTGGCGGGCAACAGTGGGTCGTCGGCTGCGAGTCCGGCAGGAAAGACACCGGCCGGCACTTTTGACAAAGGCCCCGGACGCACGGCTCGTTTCCGGGTCCTTCATGATCGAGGTAGTAGTGTAACTGGGGGTCCCCGGTACTGTCAATTCACAAAGTTCACCTTAAAAAGACGGGTTTGTCTTAACCCCAAACCGGCGCGTCAAAAGAACGTACCTCTGAACATCCCGGCCGAGAGAATCCGGGGTCTCTCCGGGCATCTGCCGGATTTGGCTGCGCGTCTTGTAAGCGTGTGTTGCTCTCACACGGACATTATGTGAATAGGGGGCCGGAAATGTTAAGGCGGCACGTACTATCCTTAGTTCGATCCGGTCCTTTTGACTGACATCTCCCCGAATCACCTTGGCGGGCAGAGGCATGGCGTTCCATCGCAGACAACACATGGAACACACGTACTTCCTCGGCCACCCAAAGTTCCCCTGCGCGTCCGCCACGGCCTCCGATTCCTGACACCGCCACCCGATGCCGTTGCCGTACTCGTGGCGGGTGCGTGAGAGGCCGTAATAGTCGATACTCCATCCGGTCTGGATCTGGTCTCCATTGGCCACGGACTGCGATCCGTCCACCTCCGTCGGTAGAGAAAACTCCTGCGGCGCCGGACGGCCGACCGCGTTGCCGAGGTAGAATCCTGTGTCACCGTCTACGCGAACGAGGACGTGACGCGGCTGCGAGGGCTCGGCGGCGGATAGGTCGAACGGGTTGATGATCCCGGCAGCCGGAGCCGGGGCAGATTGCTGTTGAGCCGCTGGCGCGGGATATGTGCCGTCGTTGGCACCGCCTTGGCTGTTGTGAATATCCCCGCCGCCGGCACCGGCGCTTGCTGCACCTCCTCGCGTGATGGCCGCAGAGGCCGGACCACCAGTGGCATCCGGTAGTTTACCAAAGCGGGGAGGTCCCGTGCCTTGGCGGCTGCTACCGCTATTACCGCTACCGCCGTTGTGCGATGATATCAAGGAAGCAGCAGCACCAGGCGGCTCTCGTTCCTGTGGTTGGGCCTGGATGACAGCCGGGCGTGTTGGTGGCCATTGTTTGCTGTACATGAGAGACCCATGATGTGGCGGGGGAAACGGATGGAAATCACCTCCCCCGAGAGAATTCTGATGCCCGACGAATCGATTGGAGATTGTCAGGCTCATGTTACGCGGGGGGAAGATGTTGTGCTCCTGGAGGGTGCTTGAAGTAGAAAGGCGGCAGAGCCGGGGACGAAAAGGACCCCAAATTGTCTGGTCTGGTCTGGTCTGGCCGTGCTTCGTTTCCTGAGTCCTGGTTCCTGGGTTCTGGTTTCCTGTTATCCTGGGGCGTTTACGTATCTGAAAGCTTGCTCTTTTCACGGGATCTTCAGCTGTGAAAGTGATCTGATTGATGCTGCTGATGCTGGCCTGCTGCTTGCCCACGGGTAACTGCAGATGGGAAAGGGAACACAATGTATGGAGAGAGAGGCGAAGAGAAGGGACGGGCGGAAGCGAGTCGGGTCATGTACGATGGAGCGGAGAGATAGATCTCAGACAAACAGCGCGTGCCGGGAGTGGATGGAAGTTGTGTACAGAGTTGTACAAAAGAGTCGAGTGGAAGTGAATGTAGTGAAGAAAGGACGGGAGATGTAGGAGGAGATCCTGATTGAATGACACCCCCTGCGCTCACGATATTTTGGTTCACCGGGCTGGACGACTTCCCACGCTGGGCTGGGCATCGGGGAATCGGGGGGGGGGGGGGGATCACTCAAGGACCAAGGTACCATCCAATGAACCCAATCGCAATTCCCCAGTACCACCAGTACCAGTCCATGGTCACCCAGCGGTTTTATTCTCGCTGGTTGCTCACCTGAATCAAAAAGAAAAAGAAGGGCAAGGCGAGAAACTACCCCCAGGGTGGCTGGCCCTAGTCTCAGAGTATCGCGAGAAGGAAAAAGCAATGCGCGTTGCGGATGGATACCTAGTGTACGCAGTACACACTCTGTCTCTCGGAGTCTCTGTGGCTCCCATCACCCTTTCAGTAAGTATATCTCTCTCTCTGCCTTGTTGTCGTTCGCTCAACGTGTGCTTTGTCGGCCCTGTCGCTACCCAGGGTGCCAGGCACACACACACGCACTATACTGCGTACGTCTACGCCTTGCAACGTGACTGGTGAACGTCTGCGCCTGGTTCCAGCGGACGGAAGATGCCCAATTTCTGCAGACAGACGCGTAGGCGTAGCGGATACGCAGGAGAGCCAGACCCGGGTACGGGTACGTATCCGTACGTACGACACAATGATAGCGTGCAGTAGATAATCTTGGGAAGACTGCCAAACTGGAGCCCAAAAAGTCCAAAGTGGCCGGGGTCAGGGAGATGAGCCAGGGGATCAAAGGCAAGGATCAAGTGAACAGCCAGGGGTTGGGAAGGGGAGGGGGGTGATCCGGGAGAGGAGGGGGGAGGGGAGTAGCAGCGGGCGGTTGGGCCAGGGCCGAGATCGATTCGATATGAGTGAACCTTCTTTTGCAGTGCTATCTCATTCTCCGGTGTTGTGTCCGTACGGATACCCAAAGGATAAGATCCGAGGCTGGACTCCTATGTCATAGTACAGAAGACATATTACTATGTATAGGTATAGGTAGGGCTCGCTCTCGGCACGGGAAGGCAGGACAGGATGCTGCCGGGTTACGTTGTGATAGGTATGCTGCAGGTCATCAAACATCATCAGACGAGGCGAAAAGGGCCTGGGCCAACACGGCCACCACCTACATATCAGGCGCAACCTCGTGGCTCCCAGGTTGGGTTCCATGCTTCCCTCAAGAGAGACACCATCGCGGTATGTACGTCTGCTGCCTTGCACCTGGATGAGCATCGACAAGACATCCCCGATACCCCTGTTTGCGCGCCTGTATGTCGGGGGTGTCATGCCGCTGCCACAATCTGCATCTGCAGTGTGCGCTGATGTGCTGCGCGCGTTGCGTGCTGCTGTGGCTTGGCTTTTTTGTCCAGACTCCGCTTCGATGTGCTGTCAGTGTCATAGTAATCGTCACTCTTACACCGCGCAGACACCACGCAGAGTACTTGTGTAGGTATTCGTACCCAAAAGTAGTTGCGTACTCAAGTATCTGTATCTGCAGTTGAGAACACGAAGAAACGCCTCCCCCGGTACGGACGTATGCAGAAGGAAAAAGACAGATGAGTTGCAGATTCCTCTGAGACTTGTGTCTCGTTCAGCATGACCAGCAGCATCTCAGCAAGCCCCCCCCCCCTGCCTCACGTTGGGATTGGTCCGGCACGAGGAGACCCCTCTTTCCCAGGGATTGTTTATATTCCCGTGTACTTATTGCACAATACCCGTATAAGTTGTCAGTCAGTAGTTTGTTTGCTCAGTTTTGTGTGGTTGATGTCGAAAAAACATGGCGCCCTATCCGCAACTGGGACCCTAATCCGCGGCACTAAGAGAAAATCCACAACTCTCCGATCGATAGACGAAGCAAGACTTGTCAAAAAGTCGATAGTCGATAGGAGGAGCTCCAGGGACAGGCCCCCGAGACGTCTGCCTATGGGCAAAGATCCGGGGAAGACGGACCAATGGGCGATGCGTCGAGTGGCGTAAAAGGAGGTGCTGCAGCTCGCTCTAAGAAGAGGTTTAGCAAGTTTTGGTCTAGCTGTGGAGAGTCTTTTTTTTTTTTTTTCTTTTTTGCTTTTTCCAAAAGTATTTGCCCCTCATCAACAAGTCAAACCTCCTTCGGGCTCATTCCCGCTGGAATATGGATCCGCGATGAGTTCAAATCTCGCAAACCGCGTCAAAGACAAGAACCTCGGAATGGTTAGTGGAGATGGCCTGTTAAAGCCCTTTTTACCCGCCGCCTTGGTCTCGCTTCCGTGGGTTCGTTTGCTCGTTTGCTCGGGTTTTTGACTGCCGTATCGTGGTGCAATGTATTGCAGCACGCGCATTGCAGTTGAGTGTACGATTGCTCTGCCCGAGCTCTCTGCCTGAGCTCAGCTTTTGCCTGAGCTCTTTGCCTGAGCTCAATGTGTGTATGGCGAGTTGCTCTCGGCTCTGCATCATCATGCCTTTTGATACCCAACACCAACACACAACTGATCCCCTCATACATGAAGAACCCAAAACGAAAACGTGTTGTAATCATAAACGACCACAAAACCCCACGTCAGGCTCTGCTCAATTTCAAACGAGATGGCAAAACGCCCGTTCCAACAGAGCTGAATCCAAGAGGCCTGTGCCCAGTGACATATCCCATCACCGGCAGTCGTCCAAATACCTCAATATTGAAATTGCTACCGATATTTTCCATCTCTTCATCCCCTTGCAACCCCCCCCCCCCTTCTCGCCAAAGCCGAAAGAAAAAATGTGACGAATGACGACCCGATCGACTGGGCCTGACGATTGCACTTGGGAGGAGCCAAAGAAAGTTGCCGACGTGCAGCAGCCCCGTTCCGTTGGTGCTGACGGACTGGAGCCTGACAGATATGCTGACGGACCATGGCTGGCCAGCATGGATGATGGATGGACTGTCCTCAGCAACTCGGGTAGGTTAGTCGTATTATCGAGATGTACTTATTTGGACTTGGAACTCGACAACCGACTTATTCAGGCTGAGGGATCCGAGATACAGCATGATCATGATGTGATCCCACGATCTCTCCCTTCCTCCCGTACCCAAAAGTCTCAGTCTCACCATCCGATCCCGACTCCCGACTTCCACTTCCCACCCATCCCAAATTCCCCATCCCTAGCCTCGCTTCAGCGTGACGTGACAACCTTAGCCCATCCCCCATATCCAGCCATCACGAAACATATCAATCCTCACAATAATAAATTCCGATCCACGTGAAGAATTTTTCTTACACCACACACACCCCAATTCACCTGGCTAGCTAGCTAGCGCCGAATCGAAATGTCCAGTGTCCCAGTGTCCCAGTGTGATCCGCCAGCTCCAAACTCCAAAAGTCATAGCTAAACCCTACACAGCAATCCTTGACGACAACGGACAGCAGGAATACTCGAGAGAGAGGGGAAAAAGCAAGTATACAGCGTCCCCGGGTCCCACGGAATCGACTTCCGGACTGCCACCACCAACCACTGACACCACCACGATCGACAAGCCACGCGCCGGACGCCCGCTTTCCCAGCCAGCCAGGGCACGCCGCACAGGTCTCCAAAAGGAGAGACATGGGGGGGGGGGGGCTGCCGTACCTTTCTTTGCGTCTCTGCAGATAGGACAGGTACAGCAAGTACTCCGTCGGATGTGCTCTCTTCGACGATCAGCGGTGTGTCGTGCGTGCTGCGTTGGTGGGTTTTTGGCCTTTTGTTTTCCTACAAATAACATAAAACGCTCAACGGGCGAGAAAAGGGATGTGGGAAAGCTGAACGGCAAAGAACCTGGTCGAGCTGGTGTCAAGCTGGACTTGGGAAAGCGGCGCTCGGATGGACAAGGGTCTTGCAGGCTACGGATACAGATACGGAGTACACAAGGGAGCATTAAAAGGGATACACTTATTGCCAAAAAGTGGCTAAACAGCTAGCTAGTCATACAGATCCTACCAACATCCGATACCTAGGTACTCATCATCTAGGTCTCTGTTCATACTCTAGGGTCCAAACATTGGCCATCTTCCCCCCTTGTACGGCAGTCGGGTCCGCGTGTAATACGAACTACCAGCCTTGTAATACCGCGTGACAATAGCCGCTCTCAAGTCAAACATGGCGAGACAAGAGGCGGAGAATCAGGGCCGCAGTCCTTACTTCTCCAGCAAACGAGTGAGCACCCGGATGATGCACATATCTCGATAGTCGTCATCGCGCCACTGCTGTGGCACCGGAATTGCATTCCTTTGCTATGGCGGCTGGCTTGAGTGTCTCAAAATGGGCAATTCAGAAGCATGGCTCGCAGAGTCGCAACCCTCCTTGCTTCCGGCTTCACACGTATATCGAGCCTGGCCAAACTGGCTCCAGAGTGTGTTCCCCGACTGTCCCCCTGACCGATACCAATGGATCCTCTCGACCATGTTGTAGCCATTCGGAGCATTTGCACGAAACCGGGTCCCTTTGCGCACGTTGCACATTCGCATCGGAAACGTTGTGTGGATGACGATTTGGCTTGGCTCCTGGTCTCCCTGAAGAGCCGCATGTCAAGCCCTCAGCGTGTATCCACCGACTCTACGACGCCAGTCAAAAGAAACTGAAATGCTTGGGTTCGACGCACGGTGTTACGTTGGGGGATATGCGTGGAGCTCGAGTTGCACAAACACCTGGCATTTTGCGTGGTGATGGCAAAAAGAAAGCCTTCACAAATCTGATTCGCTGTCCTTGCTGGGCCGCATGAGGGACCTAGACGGTGGCTTGAGGCGGTCTGGGAGGGTTCTTGGCGCCTTGATCAAGCCCTGAATTGCATAGAAATGCAAGCAATACTCTGCGAAGGCCAGGCGGATGCTGACTTGTAAACCGAATCAATCGTTACGACTGACACCGGCGCAGAACGAACGCCGAGCAGCCTACATTTAGGCACTGGTGCTGAAGTAGTAGTTCTCCCACAAGTACTCGTAGTCCTCCAGAATGCCACCGACCAAGTTGGGTACTCTGGATCGCACGCCGCCGACAACACCCTTCATGATGTTCTCGTAGAATGCTCCGCGCATGGTCCACCATCCCATGGCCCAGCCTCTCTTGCTCCATTCGTCGCGTTCGAGTGGCGTTGTCCTGAAGCCCCGGTCTCTGAGTTGTCGTGCTGCGTATTCAACGCTCAGACCAACTAGCCACGGTGTCCATGACTTCTTATTCTTGCTTTTCGACAAAGCAATGGCATACACCAACGGTGCGAGGATGTGTAGCACCTCTGCTGCCTGTGCACTGCCCTGCAGCTGATTCAGCAGCTTTGCAGCTGGTTTGATATCCTCTGCTGTCAACACTTTGCCCAGAAGATAGCCGCTAATATCGCCAGCGTTGGGCAGCGAAGGAAGGCTCATGCCAGTCCTGGGCATCGTCCAGTCTTTCTCATGAGGCTTCTGCGCCTCTTCGCTGTCTTCCGGTGCGTGTCCATTGGTCGGCTCTTCCAGAATATCCTTCAGAGCGGCGTCACTTTCGGCCTCGGTTTCTTCAGGGATAGGCTCACGTTCCGGGAGAACGGGCGACACAAGAGGACGAGAGCGCGTCACGCGCAATAGTAATAGGCGGCAGATGGCCTTGATAGCCTCCAAGAGCACGACGACGCGCCATCGACTGCGCTCGCCGCCACGCCTCTTAGCAGCCATCTCGCATAGCAGCTGTGTGTATGTGACCATTTGCAGTAACATGGCAATGCGCCGGTACATGGGACTGCGCTGAGTCCAGTATTTTGTATATCGGGCATGAGGGGATGGCAGTCGCGCCATCGGGATGCGCGACAGAGCGCGCATAAGAAGGGTATCATGATAAAGAGAAAGGAGCTGTACACTCGAATGGACAGTTTCGGAAGCAATTTCGGCGTCGCGGAACCGACCTTTCAGAGGCAGTGTTAGATGGGCGATAGCGAAGACAGTCTTGTGTGGAGAGGTGCCTTACCAGGGATGATATAGGTGAGGGACCGTAAGGCCGACTCTATTTGAGAGACCTGACTAGAGTTCTTGGTGATGAACTCTTCGTACATGTGAAGCCATTGCGGCGGTAATGAAAGAACGGCGCGGATCTTGGACGGCTGATGCGATAGTCGCGTTTTGTTGGGGATATCGGCGGAAGTCGACATGATGCAAGATTCAAATCATTAAGGCGTGGCGAAGGTTGCGCAACGAATAGTCGGACCGGAGGTGGAACTGAACAGGTACAGAGGAAAAGCGCGCGGTGGTGGTGTCAGCACGAAGAGAATGAAGAAGAGGGCGATATGTCAAGATGAAGGGGTTGCAAATGACAACACAGCGACGCTGGGATTTGTGAGGGAAGTGAAAGTGGTTGGCGGAAGTGCGAATTAGGTATTAACGTAGGTAAGCTCTCTCGCAAACGCCAGAGTCGAGGTGGTAAAGGTGTATCCGCAAGGCAAGGTAAGTGCGGACAGGATGGACGGTTTAATGACGGAAAGTTGCAGGGACCTCGGGGGGCACGCTCATCGCGACTGACGTGGAGTGCGCCTGTTGCTTCTGTGCTCCTGCTGATCTGACCTGAGCCCGCGGGCGACCGACCGACCGTAAGCCGAGGTCGCGGCGTCGCCTATCACCTTTCGGCCCTGCCACCTCAGGCAAATGCGCTTGTCGCTGGCATGAGATAGGAAAGTGCATCATCACCCGCCTGTCCAATGCATTGGGCCAATGAGATTACGTTGCATGCCTCGGTAAGGGCAATCCCTGCCGCCTCAGAGCACGTCTACACTACTTGCATTACCTACCTTTACCTTAGGTTACCTTACCTCTAGGTAGGTACTTACACTCGGAATGACATATCTCTATGGATCAAGTGAGCCTCACGACGACATCAACCACGAACCTCACTCGCACTACACTCTTACAGACCTTGGCTCCTTGGAAACATCTTTTCATTTGCACAAAGCGAGTAGCATTTGCCCTCTAGATCCTCGTAACACCGCAACCTAGCACTGTGGTGCCACACTGACAGCCGTCAACATAGCTGCACTAAGTACATGGAAGGGGTCCGAGACAGCATGCTCTGAAGCACATGTAGTCTTCATCTCCAATAGAAATGGTAGGGTATCACAAAAACAAAATGCCTTGCCCGAGGCCAAACTCCCATGCGGGCAGAACGAGGCCCCGCCTTTGATCCCAAGTCCACTTATACACAGTGGCCCATGTTATAGCTGAATGGGTTCGATATGACTGCATCTTGTTTTGGTGCGTTGTTCGAGTCCTCTATTCGCTCGCATCAGATTCTCTCGAATCCAGCATCTGCGAGCTCAACGCCTGTAGGGAGCATCGGCCGCCCCTGCATCGGGAACGGCCAAAAAAGAGGGTTCTCCAACACCTTGGCCGCCCGCTCGACTGATGCTTGTCCTGGTTCCGTAGGTTTCAAGCCCATGGCTACCGCCGGGTTCGGTACGTCGGCTGCATCGGCGTTGCCTCCCCAGGCGCAGATAAAGTCATCTTCAATGACGTTCGGTGCAAAGAAGTTGAGACTGCTGGTGTACGGCCTAACGAGATGTGCGTACTCGGCATCCGAGGCTACTTCGCCGCCCATGTCGACGTCCATGTTCCACTTCTTCGCAAGGTACCGTAGTATGTTCAGTGCCTGTTCAGCAAAATGGTGGCATGGTGCCATCTCCTCCAGATCTCGGATACCTTGCTGGATGGCTTCTACAACGCGAGGCGGATAAAAGGGTGGATCGTTGGGGTCGGTGTTCTGACCTGGCCCTTCAAAGGCCTTCTGCAACGGCAGCGACGAGGAGGTTGTGGCACCGATGGCTAGATGCATAATGGCTGATGTGAGTACAAAGTACGGGACAAACGATGGTGTCCGGCGTAGTGTGTACAATTGCGAGTAGGATCGTAGTAGGCCTTGGATAGCATCTGCCGCCTGCCCACATACGTCTCGGGGCAATAGCTTAGAGCCAATGATCTTGAGCTTGATGAGGGGTCGAAACAGCAGCAGGATCGCGAAATGATAGTACATGCTGTAGCGGTATTCGGTTAGTACATGTTGCAGCTATGTATCTCTGTTGAGCAAAACTTACTGCGCGAACAGGACCGCCGGTGTGAAGTTGTGCCCAAGCCTCAGAACCTCCGGTATCTTGTCATACCAGTTGAGGTACTGGGTATAAATGCCGAGAAGGTCACGGCTAGTCAGCGGCCGCCCCGGGGAGTGCAAAACGTAAAGGCTTTGGTGCACGAGCTCGCTCAATTCACAAAAGCACTTATAAACGGATCGAACGTTGGATGGCTGCTCGGCGGACCGCTGCAACGGTGCGCCTATCGATGAACCTGAGCCTCTGTCGCTTGGAGAGCCTGAAGCCTCGCCTAAGTTTATCAAAGACTTACCATCGTCGGTGTAAGGGATCCAAAGAGAGGCTTCTATGTCATCTATTATGGCAGGCTTTGGCGGCAGATGAGGAAAGCAGGAACACTGCGGAAGCGAGCCAGTCGCTAAAGACCATGCACTGGGAGATAGTTAGGTTGCGAGACAAGATGCCAGACTTTTGTATAAGAAACTCACTGGTCGAGAGCGAACGCGCCCCAGAAAGTTGCAGCCTGAACCGCAAACTCGTCATCATCTCCATCTTCCTCGAGTTGATGAAGTCCCATCTCAATAGCAAGACGAATGCTTTGTCCGGCATAGTACCAGCTTTCCGAGTCTCTGCCACAGCTGGCTTCTCGAATAGACATTATTCCCAGAGCTTGAATGGTGGTGAGATTGTGGTGGTTTTTCTCCTTGTAGAACAAACTTTGTGCTTCTTTGAAAAAGTGATCGCCAGATGTGTACGGGTCGTTGGGATTCGCTCTTGTGCTCGGCTTACTGGAGAAACGGCACCCGAGGGCCAAGAGTGCGTTTACGAGTATCGGAGAGCAGTAGCGTTCGACGCCATTCTGGAAATCCCTGAGAAAATGCTCCTTACTCAGAGACGCAAAGGTTGGGTACTCCCAACAGAAGTACAAGGCCAGCAAGTGTTGCACCAATGAGCCGTCATCCGTAATGTTCGTCCATTCTTCGGGGGGCAGCTTCATGTCAGGCAATTCTAGCGGGGCTAGCACCTGGTCGGCGCCTTGATGCTTCGAGCCGCCTTCGGAGGCTTCTGTGTTACTTGCCGACTCAGCCCAGGTGTCGAATAGCCCCTGTGGCGGCCTATTGTTGTCTGCGCTCCAATTCATTGCGTCGGGATGGGAGTTGCTTCGAGTGCTCTGGCTGTGTGATGAAGGGTGCCAAGGGCTATTCGGATCAATCTCCTGGCGCAAACCAGACTGCCCAGTAATTGGACTCATGACTACGGAGCCATGGTCTCCTAGGTTCCTGGTTCTGATGGGCGCCGGAAACCCCCCTGGGCGAGTCCCTGGGCCTGCGCTTGCATCGCTAGATTGTTCGTTTGGGCGTGCAAAGGAAGTCCTCGCACCATCACCAGCAGCACCACCTATCCAGTCCGAGACTGATTCAAGCGATTGTCCATTGCGCAATCGTTGCAACACATCCTCCCACATATCGGGGCGAACGAGGGCGGCTATGACCTGATCGCTGCTTTTCTGACGTTGGCGCAAATTCTCGAGCTCGGTTCGGAGATTCTCCTTGGATTGGCGGACTGGGACCTCGTAGACACATTCTACGTCCTTCTGAGCCTTGCACCGACCGCAGGGTTTTTGTCCGTCGCACTATTCGTGAGATTGTCAGCGCAAAGAAAGCGTAGGTGGGTGCGAGGGTACTATCGGGTGCTGGCTTACTTTTGCTCGCTTTTTGCGACACTCGGTACAGGCATTAGGCGTGACCACTCCTAGGCCTCTCCTCCTCTTGGCCGACAGTTGAGCAGCACTAGAGCTGCTTGACGGTGTAGGCGCATTGGGAGGAGCGGAGGTTGAAGAGGAAGCGGTTGCAGGTGGTGCCCTCGCGGAGGAAGCAGAGCCGGCAGCGGGTTGAGGCTGCTGTTGACTATCGGGTGCCTCCTCCATATCGGCAGTAGTTGAGCGCTTCAGGTTGACTGGTTGTAGGCTCGTGCCGAGTCTACAGGGCGAACTCGACTTTTAGGACTTTGTTTGTGAATTGACATAATGAGGCCGTTCAAAGGCGGGAGCTGGTCGTCATGGATCCTAGAAAAGAACAGAAACCTTCGGACAGGTATGGCCTAGGGAGACTGCCACCCAGTAGCTACGTTCAGTGTCTAGGTGGTTCGCGCGAGGTAGAGAGCTGACCAGGAGGCGCGCGCAAGAAAGGCGTCGGGCGTAAGAATCAGACAGGTCGCGGGAGGTGGCCACGGAAGGCTGGATTGCACAGTAGGTGAATTGACCTTGGCTAGCCGTCGATGCTATCGTTGTCGTCGAGCGGCGGACAAGCAAGCGGTGTCAAGAGACGGGAGGACGGCAGGTTGACAGCGACAACTGCCCCTCTTTGGTAAAGGCACTTGCTATCGAACCATGCGCTCCGTGTGCAATTGGATATGCAATTACCCTGTGGAGAAAGGGTATGTGGCACTTGAGAATTCTTGTGCGCCAACTATTAGGATGTCATTAGGCCGGTGGGAAATGGCGTGGGTGGTGAATGACTGAAGGGAATATGAGGCAGGGAGCGCAAAAATTGGGCAGCCCGTGATGAAGAGAAACGGGTGGTGGGAAAGGCGGGAAGGGATGGCAGTGTGCAGCGAGCGGCCAGGTTGGGTCCCCAGTCAGAGAAGACGGACGAGGCGACGGAAGGAGGGAAAGACGGTAGATGAAGCACAGACACGCAAGATGCAATCCCGTAATTCAGGCAAGTATTCTTTACGGAGGAGGTATCTTACGAATACAGACTGAGGGAACTTGGAAGGGAAGGAAGCACGGAACGTAAGGTGAGGTACCTTCCTTACCTTGCTTGGCCTTGGTCCTGACTCCTTGAGAAGGAGGAGGTACGGACACCTACGTGCCAGGGCAGCTCCTTCCCCAGATTCCCGAGCTTCCAGCCGCGCAAGGTCCAGCTACCTGAAATTGTACGCAGTACCTTCCATCCTTCCGTCTGAGGCGCGAGGGGTAGGTGAAACTCTTTTGCTTCCAAGGCAGGGCTGGGACGCCTCAGGCAAACCTGAAAGAAGTTGAGACCGACTTCTTTTCAGCTGAATCAAGTACCTTACTTTCTTTCTGTACTCTGGGAAATGACTGGCTAGCGGTAACAAAGGCAAGCAAGGCATGCGCATTGAGGTAAGCAAGAGGTAACATACCTTACGCGCAGCTTCGATTGGTAAGGGTACGTATTGAGCTTCACGCAGCCAATCCACCTTACCTTACCGTCTT